TCCTCAGAAACATTGGCATATCTCAAAACTGGCAGAGATAGATGGAGGGATGTAAAATTAATTCATAGAGGAAAGGAAATAAGACAGCCTTAGCAGACAGGTCACACTGTGTTATTATTGCTTGTAACTACTTCCTGCTGGCACAGACTACCTGAAGACACGGGTAACTTGAGTCCAATTAGGAAATTCATGCAAAAGAAATCAGAGAGTTTTAGCAACCATAATGAAACTTCCAACAATTACACTGCATATCCTTCATGATGCAATTCTGTTAATACAAAAAAAAAATCTCCAAAAGACAGGTTTTTCTGGGTTTTAAATAAATTCACTATTTAGTTCATTTTCAACAGAACACTTAAAATGTAGTAATTTATACTCAGATTGTATCCTTATGAGTAATAAGTGTTTTAGGGATGAACTCTACTTCTTTTTTTGTCTCCTCAATAATTTTAGAAATCAGTCATTACCCAAACTGACTGCCTCCCAGTTCCTAGTATAATAAATGTTACTGCTGTAATTCTCAAAAGCAGGTATCATGCTGATTTGAATTCTAATTAGCCTCTAAGCAAAAAGAACAGTGCATGGCTAATGCATTCTGTATCAAGACACATTAATCAACATTTTGGGGTGCTTTTAGCACCCAAGCAAACCAGCACATATTTTTTCAAACGCCATTGTACTATTTTTGGGGACAATGAAAATCAGATCTGTTCAGAAACGATAAAAATCACAGAAAACAAGACTCATCTAGAGAGTTTTTGGGTTAAGAAAATTATGTAATTTGTTTCTTTAATAATGACTTATAAAAATAAAACCAGAAAAAAATAAATAAAAATGAAACCAGTAATAATAAATAAAAAGCCAGATATTTTTCTTCAAGCAAGAACTAACAAGTTTCTGGCCACCATTTTGCCTAATGGATAGAATGTTCTGGAAGTTTATCTAGAAACATCTCTGTGAAAATGAAACTGCCTCTCTTTTTCTCTCTCTCTCCCTTTCTTCCTTCCCCTTCATTGATCTAGCGACCCTTCTAAGTATGTGCTGGTTCTTCTCGCCTTTTTGAACGCTATCTCAGTGACCATTTAGAAGGGAGAGACTATCTGAAGTATTCCCTTGCTGTGCTTAGAAAGTCAGTTAAGATTTTATTAGAGAATCCCAAGACCTCATGAAATCTTCAGCAGTCATTCAGAAAAGCCACATTCCTAAGCTTTTGCCAGCTCGGCTTCATGTTTTCATAATATAGAAGGGAGCCATTGTTTCTTGGCTGGTGGACAGGACTGGAGGGGCTGATGTGGCTCCTTAGTCTGTTCGCTCTTTAACTTTTATCCAGAAGACTTCACATTTATGTTGCTGTTACACTGAGATATTTGAGTTGGTTGATTTGAGGGAGAGTTGATAGGTATTGGCAGATGAGTTGAAGAAAACTGACTTCAGCCAAAATAGATCTTGTTCAAAATTAAACTGGAGACATTTTGCTCATTGTTAGGTAGATTGTGTTTTATGAAATAAAACTGAATTTTTTCAAATAAGATCAGAAAAAGATGTAAGAAGGATGATATTGGTATATAAAGATTTTCCCCCCTAAAATCTCTTTAATGCCTGGCTTAGACTATAGCTGGATTCACATCTACACGTCTATATTCAGTCTTCTCGATTTGTTGTTCGGGGTGAAGTATTTAACACATCTCAGATAGGTAATTGTACAATGAAAGGTTATTTTAACAACTTATTCAGATAGAGTTGCTAGTTTTCTTTGCTATAACCTCCAAGCTCCATGGTGGCTATGTCTTAAAGGTTAGACTCCACACAAAATCTGAAGTTATTCACACTTAGATGCTTCAGGCCAACAGCAAACAAAATGTCTTTGCCCATTGTGAAACCATTCAACCTTTAAGCCCTCTTCAGGCCGTCTGGGAGAGCCAGGGTTTCTCCCAGAAAAACTTTTGGAACCAAAACTTTTGGAACCAGTATAAGCTCAGGAGATAAGTAAGCTTAAAAGACTTGAGAAGGTGGCGACACACGCCTTTAATCCCAGCTCCTGGGAGACGAGGCAGGTGGGTCTCTAAGTTTAAGCACAGCCTGGTTGACAAAGTAAGTAGCGCATTGGAACACGGGGTGTGTCGAGATGTACGTATGTGACTGATACTCTCTCGGAGTGGTGGTCATGAACGACTAATCATACTGAAGTCTTTTGAAGCCTATAAGCACAACAGTGCTAAAAATCAAGTCTGCAGCTTAATTTATCTCTTGAAATTAAATAATTTTGCCCTGAATCATCTGTTAAAGGAAATTTAATGTGTCTTTAGAAGGAAGATTAAAAATGCCTGTATCTAACTGCTGAGATAACAAAGACTTGTTTGTGGAAAATGCAACCGCATGCTTGACTTTTTTGTAAACTAAACACTAACTCAAATACGGACTGTATTTCTGTGTCTTCTTCCCTTTCTGCTTTGTATTATTAGTATGCTTTAATGAAGCTTCCACTTGACTGGCTAAAGAAATCATTTTATCTTTGCTTGAAAATGTATAAAGAGTTCAAGTTGAAAAGCAAATATTCAATCTCTACATTACAATTTGGGGACATCCGCCATGACCAATGACTGTAACATTCATTCATATTCTTGAAAGTGGAGAGAGGACACCTATTTATGTTAAATATTACCCTATTAGATTAGATGTTTAGTTATAAATAAATGTATCACTTATAGTGTTTTTTATAAAATAACATATCAAATTATTTTGCTAAAGGTAGACTTATAAATGATTTCTCTCAATTGAGGTCAGATTTTTATTTTGAAATATTAAGAGGTATGACACCTTTGCCAGGTTTTCCCTTCTAGGAGGTAGACTGTGGTGCCAAGTAGAATAGGGATTATAGGAAATAACCTTACCGTAAACCTCAGTTCCGAGATCCAGCCCCCACTTTTCTACCTTCGGGGTGCTCAAGTCATACTAAATCTGAATGGTGTGTCACCTGAAATGTTTCACAGTGACGACATCCTTCTATTCTCAATACCCAGCAGCTAGCTTTTATATAAATGTTTAAAAAGTCCACTTGTTTGAAACATAGATGCAGACATTTTAACATGCCTGCAGAACACTCTCTCTAAGCCTTCCTGCTTAGTTCCAAGCACCATGAAACAGGTTCATGACAGCTGATTTGAAGGGAAATCAATTGAACCGATAATTCTTCCAGAAATAGTCCAAGCATAAACAAAACAGGAAGTATTAGAAAAGAACCATTGCAAGGTTTGCTTTAAATTTTTGTTAAGTATTTTATATTCTAAATGGTTAGACCCCTATGTCTTGTTTCCCTTGACTAGTTAAAAAGAAAATAAAACTGGGTAGATAATCAGGAGGATGTAAACACTGGTCTAAGTAGTTTCTTTTCAAACCCTAGGCCTCCATCTTTCTGGTTCGCATGCCAGCTGAATTTGGGCGGTAGCTCGGTCCTGTTCTGATGCCGTCCTTCTTAGTCTCAGATGTCACAGTCTTCAGGACCAACCTTGCAAGACTAACTTCATTTCAGTGGCATGTAGCAAATTATTAGTGACTGGGATTATTTGCACTTTTTCTAAAGTGACTATGGATTTAGGGCTTTGGGGGAACAACTTGTTTTAAGAATTGGATAGAATGAGTCACAGTTCAGGGTGACGCCCTTGTCATTTATTCTAAAGGCTGAATAAAACTGCCCACTGAATAGGGCAATGTCTGGAAGACCTCCGGCCACAAAGGCCTCTGTCCTTGTGTATCCGAACGCTCCACCCTCCTGACTTGTAACTGTGTGTGTTGACTTGAAAAATCTACTTGGTTCTGTTATTTAGGGTTTCTATGGGGATTCCATGGCATAACTGATGAAGTCGCTACCCTCTAGTGATTAACTTCAACCTCCAGCCATTCTCCCTTTCCCATGGATGATGAAATAAAATGGAAAATTCCAGCCTTCTAGCCATCAGACTGGTTATTCACACCTTGGCAATATCTAGGGGACTCACTTAGTGTCTCCTGTTTGTAGCAATTCATGTGTAGTTGGAAGGAACAAGTTATGAGCAACAAAGGAGGTCTCTTACCATTCCTGTAACCCAGAGGAGTCTAAGGCCTGACAGATCCATGCCAAGACCAGGGTGCCTTTTATTATGCCACAGATGAATTTCCTCCAGGTAACAGAGACAATGTTTGAGGAGTATGGCAAGAAGGACTTTTCCTTTCATGTTGAATATTACTAATTCTCTCACCTGGGCATATTCATTGTATCAGCTATGTATTATCGCCTGCCGCCTTACCCTAGAAAGCAGATGCTGAAAACTCTTCGCTTATGTCTCTGAAAGGCAGGAATTCAAGCAGGACAGGCGACTCTGCCTCTGAGTCCCTGAAGAGTCGGCCATGAAGCAGGCATCCAGGGCTGTGTCCTCTTTAGAAGAATCTAAGGGATGGAAAATCCACTCCCAAGCTCCCTCGCAGAGTTCTTGACAGACCTCAGTCCTCACACTGTGGTAGCTCCACAGGGCTACCCCACAGCAGGGCAGTTTGTTCCCCTCAAAATCAGTGGTCCAAGTGAGAAGATAGAAGAAAGACCCACCCCAGACAGAAGCCACTCAGCTTAGACCCAGATGTAACGTCCTATCATTCCCAGAGTATCTTATTCACCAGGTCTACATAGGGAATCCACTTTTGACTCAAGAGGAAGAGAATTCACAAGGCTGTGGACAGAGGAAGGGAGCCTTATGGGCCCCTCCACATCCACCCAAACACAATTGGTCTTTGTGTGTTAAATGACAAGACGTACCAGACGGAGGAGGGAAGGAGTTATTACAAAGACATTTGCATCACTTTCTAAAGCGTCTCTGGAGCGCCTCTCATTCCATTGATGACCATCGTGTAGTGAGTAGTTTGAGCTCAGCTGGGACACTTGTACGCAATCAAGGAAGTAGAACCACAGTAGGAAAAACTGAGCGTGCTGTCAAATGAATAATGCCTTGTATGCCCATCTTTTTTTTAAGGGAGAACCAGGCTTCATTGGTCCTCAAGGAGAGCCGGGCTTACCAGGGTTACCAGGAACAAAAGTAAGTAAACCTTTATGCCCCTCCTTTTTCTCTGACATTTGTGCCATCCCTGCCAAAAATAAAAGGTGGGAGGACTCTTCCACTGTTTGGACGGCCATATATTTTTGCCTTAGAACCAAGGCAGCCTGATCCACCTATTAATGACATGCCTTTGGAAGTTATGTCCAGGAAGCTCTAGGCACATCCGACAGTGGGTGGAATATAGTTGTCGTTCAAGTTTGCCCTCTGGATTCCTCAGTAAGTGTGATGCCACTGGCTTCCCGGTGACATGGAAAGGTGGCTGAGAGAAAGGAGGGCCAGAGCTCACCAACCCCTTCTTCTTCCCTTCTTCATCCATTCCAGGATGCTCTTGCTAATCGGACATTAATCCCATCCCCACGGATGTCACAGAGATTTCTAAATGCTTCACTCCAAAAAATATCTGCTCCAAATGATGTGTGCAGAAATATTCTGTAATGAAAACCGTCTTTGAGTGTTCTATTTGGCAACCTTAAACTGGACCCTGAAAGCAAGAGCTGTATGTTGCCAGGCAAAAAGAATACAGAGCTGCAGATAGAGAGGCAGGTCCAGAGTTCACCCTTCATCTGCCCAGTAAGACATAAACGGTGATGGAGTTGTGCTCAGGACAGACTTGTGAATCAAAGGTACAAAGTGGCATCCACTTATACTCAGTTATTTTTAAGCCACAGCAGACTCGGCCTCGGTGAGTTCTGGGTTCAGCAGAAATAGGCCAGGGGTGATTTCCAATAGTTAGAGAAATATGTCACGGTCTATTCAGATGATCTAGGCCTCATTTCTGCTCTGGTCAAGCGAAAATAACTCTAATCCTAGCAGCGGAAACTATCCATTGCCTAAGAGGACTGGAACTCGTAGGATTATGAAAAATTGTTTTCCAAAGAAATCCCATTTTCACACAATAAGCTATCAAGCCCATTAAAGAAATTCTGTTTTAGCCTAAACAAATTCACACAAGATAGACCTTCCTGAGAGGGAAAGGCAAAGACAGAGATGAAAGGAATTGTCTGTTCACATGAGAACGGTTATACTGATTGAGTTTGAAGCCTTAAAGCCAGGAGAGAGAAGGTGGCCAGGCAGAGTAGTATATCTACCACCACACAGGGAGGGTGAGTCCCAGCAGGGGGAGCCATTGGGAACTTCATCTGTAGAAGATTTTTGCTAGACAGGGGAAAAAAAATAAACCCAGCTGGTAGAGATATTTATCCCTAAATTTTTTTGTTTTTTTGAGATAGGGCTTCTCTGTAGCTTTAGAGCCTGTCCTGGAACTAGCTCTTGTAGACCAGGCTGGCCTCACACTTACAGATATCCTCCTGCCTGTGCCTCCCGAGTGCTGGAATTAAAGGCCTGTGCCACCACTGCCTGGCCCTAAATACTTTTTTTTTAATAGCAAACTGTTAAACTATTCCATAGTTTCAAAGAGAGAGACTCAGACATAGAGTCAGAAAGTTGAGAGTAATGGCTATTATGAAGGCCTCAGCATGACTCTAGAGAATAAATACTTTACTCTGGACCTCCAGGAGAAGGAAGAGATGTGATGCCCCTGTGACCTTTCTACAAGCAAGCATATGCACAGAAAGACAGTTTTAGCAATATCCTAAACTTGTTAGCTGAATTGCCTATCTCAACAAGAGTTGTGTCCTAAGAGGAAATTTCTAATTTGAAGATATATTTTGACCCAACAATGGTCTTTTACCATTTTTTGTAGATGGTCTGAATTTGTACCCCTAACAAGAGATCTAAAAAATAAAATGGTGTGTCTAACTCGCAAGGCAGTAAAGACATGTCCTAAGAAAGGAGACTAATAGCATCTAAGAATCTGTAGTGGAAATGGCGTGTCCCAAGGGCCTCTCCTGGTGCCTTGTCAGAGCTACATCTGCCTAGAAAAATTGAATTTAAGTCAGAGTACAAAAAAAAAACCAGTAGGTCAAAGTATAATATATGGAACTTCCCCATTGTGCTATGTACTTTGCTGGAACTTCTTAAAATTTGCTACAGAATGTAAATAGATGTCCATTCAATAATTAAAAAAAAAAGGAGGAGCAATAAGCATAGGAAGAAGAGGACGAGGAAGCCATACTGATAATCTTTTAATGTCTTTGCATTTATCTGCATAGCCACCTAACAGACATTCATCAAACTCTTTCCATATTTATAAAATGGGGATTAGAAGGCAGAATTACATATACATTTATATCAGGGTGTTCTAGAGACTCAGAACCTATGTCAGTGAGAGAGTATTTACCTACCATATATACCTACCTAGCTATATATATATATATATATATATATATATATATATATATATATATAGCATCCATATATATGACACATGTATATGTCATATGACATATGTGTGTATGTGTGTATGTGTATGGCCAAGGAAGGGATTTATTAGGAGAATTGGCTCATGTGATTACAGAGGCAAAGATGTCCCACAGAAACCAGCTATATACAAACTAAAAGCATCCTAGTAGCCTGGTTCAGTCTAGGTCTGATGGCTTCAGAATCATGGAAGCTGGTACTGAAACTCCTTGGAAGAAGGTAAAGGTCTAAGATGCAAGGCCTGGTGCTGGTCTTGCCCTCAAGACAGAAGATTGGCTGTGGTGTTCTGAGCAGCAAAAGGTGCTCCAGAGGGACAGAGACAGCTTGCCTGTCCTTTTGTCCCTCCCGAAGCCATGTGGGCAACAATCACATATTTGAAGGGGAAACCTTCCCCTCTCTGTCTGTCGACTCAGTCACTGGCCATTATGCAATCTCCTCTGGACACACTCTGCTAAAAAAAAAAAAAAAAACAGTAAGAATGTTTCCAGAGTCCCATAGGTGCTTCTTAGCCCAGCCAAGATGGCACCAAAATTAATAACCTTAGAGTGTTTTGTGTATGCAATGGGGTCATGTTCAGAGATGAACACAGTGCCAGCATGCTGTGAACGAGCAGTGGCTGTGTTTACCTCTGTTTTGTTGAACTCCGGTATTCCTCTCTGGGGAACAGGCATGGGGAGGCTACTATTTACCTGTTTTGCAATTTGTGACAGGGTGAACGTGGAGAGGCAGGGCCTCCTGGAAGAGGTGAACGAGGAGACCCGGGAGCCCCAGGACCAAAGGTCAGTTATTCTTACGTTGGAGGAGAGCTGTCTTTATTTGGGGGTGCATGCCTCTTGCTGTAGAATATGCAACTAACTCTTCAACAGATGCTAAAACGACCCAAATCACAAGCACCTCATTGAAATGCACACTGATGCTAGTGATTTTGCAGTTCAACTCTTCTTGTTTACTCTGTGCAGCTCAGTGAAGAAATTTAATAGCATATCTGAAAGTAAAGGGAGAGATGCTGTCATATAACACGCCATCGCTCAATGTGTGTTACAGCCTGCTGAGAAAAACCCTCACTGCCCAGTGCTGTGTTCGTTTCCATGGTAACTTGATGGAGTGTGACACCTTGGAAATATTAGTGCTAAGGATATATTTGCCTATGCCAGCTCTCTTTCCCTAAACATTATACAAACTAAAGTGTATACTCTACTCTAATAACCAGCCCCTCTCGGAGACGGGTGATGTAATCTCTGATGAGAAAGAACTCTCAGCACAGAAGCACTGTTGAGACGCATAGAATCACTTACAGAGCTCTCCACAGACACTGATAGAAAAGAGTCTTCGGAGTCATAACGGGTAGAGGTTGACAGAGACCAGGGAGTGAGCTCCTGCTACAGCGATGCGTATTCTCTGTGTTAAAATAACCAGCGTTATACGGCACTGTGCCTGGCTGTTAAGATAAAGTGTGTCCGTGATCCTCTTTGTTCTGAGCCACTGTTCTTATCTTCCCTGTCGTTCTCTTTCTCATCTTCATACTCTCTTACAATAGGGGAAACAAGGTGAATCAGGAACTAGAGGCCCAAAGGGGTCAAAGGTCAGTAACCAATAACCATTTTGATGTGACTACGGGCCTTCAAGATACGTGTCTTTTGCCTCTTCCTCAAAGAGTTCTGTCATAAATGAAACCTTTCCTTCAGGACTTACATTTGGTTTGTCCCTGTGATTATAACTCAAGACACTTGGCTTATTTTTCCTTGTTGTCTGCTCTTATCCTTAAGACTATCCCTTTTTAACTGTGTGTGTGTGTGTGTGTGTGTGTGTGTGTGTGTTATGCTGTGTGCCACAACATGCAATATGGAGGTCGGAGGGTAAATTGTAGGAGTTGGTTCTCTCTGTCTACCATTTGGGTTCTGAGATGTAACTCGAGTATTCAGGCGTGGTAGCCTCTGCTTGCTAAGCCATTCGCCAGCCACCATTCACCATACAGACTATTCTGTAAGAGGCAGTGTATGTCCTGTTTCTTGAGAATTGCTTCTTTGGGGAAAGAGACAGTTTATGAATTGTTTGCTCTTAGTTTTCATTCCCTATTTTTGTTGACGAATGCTCCTGTTATACTTTGGTTTGTCACATGACTCCATTCAGAGAATTAAAACAATACCCTAGGAGTAGAACATGGCTCAGTGAGTAAAACTTCTTACTGTAGAAAGTGAGGCTCTGAGTTTGAGCCCCCAGAACCCACAAAATAACTCAAGCATCTGTGATCCCTTCACTCCTGCAAGAAGATAGAAGGAAAGACAAGGGATTCCCCAGAAGCTAGCCTGGCTTACACAGTGGAAAACACAAAGAGACCCCATTTAACATTAAGTGAAAGACAGGCACCAACACCTGAGGGTGTACTCTTATCCCTGCACATTCACTGGGACACAATGCAGACACGTGTACACACCAAATAATAACCAAAATAAAATGTCACTACCAATAGCAGTTGTCCCTTCGTCATGATGCTTATGCTATCTGAAATAGCATATATACTGTCACTGAAAATGCCATTAGCTGATAGCATGGAAGAGTACAAAATGGGACTAGAGATTAGAGGCTGTTAATTCCCTATCCATAGAGAAGTTAATTGTTATGGCCCATGTCACTAGTATAACCTGCATGAGAAAAATTACAGCCTCCCTTTCTCCTTATCCTCACTGGTCCTTATCCTGGTCCTTATCGGTTTTATGTAACTATGTAGAGAGACAGATGTTGTGAGCTCTGTATCAAAAGGGGGCTCTAGTTTAAGGCTGATTTAAAGAACCTTTAGATATATACAGATTTAAGTACTTTCTTCTCTTGTCATTTTCAACCTCTGATCATTTGGAGAGTGTGTAGTCTCTTCTTGGTGTCTCTGTGGGTGGGGTTATGACACCATAAATAAAACTCCAGAGATGATTTCCTATTGCTTTGAAATCAAAATGGGGAGGAACAGAAAAGAGAGGACAGAGAGGAAAAGGAGAAGGGGAGAGATAAGATAAAGGAAGTCTGGCCAGCTGACTGCTGTCAACTCCGAGTGTTTAAGTAGCTACTGGTGACTATTGTCACCAGAGGGGGTCTAGCCTCTGGCTTTACAGTCCCATTCTTCCTAAAATGATCTCTCCATTCCTTCCTGTCCCAGTTGTCTCTGTTTCTTCCATGAGGACAGATGCCACAGTGCCTTGGCCCTTTTTCCTTTCATTCACACCCCTTCAAAGGAAAGCAACCCTGCTAACTCTGAAGATAAATATTACTTTGGGTACCCTAGAAATCACTCACTTTGCTTATGCAAACCCTGGCCAGAGAGTACATAGCCTGTCTGACTGTTCCAACGTAGTCTGTGTTCTGAGGAGAAGATTTAACTTCCCATCAGCGCCATCTTTAGGAGGCATTTACAGTGGTGGTGGTGGTGGCGGTGATGTCTGCTTCCTATGTCTGCAGTTCGTGTCTAAAGCGCAGCTGTGTGGTACAAATAGCTTATTAAGTGTGATGGAATCCTACAACAGTGGCCATGCTGATTATTATTTTCTTTTCTCGTGGGCAAAGGGTGATCGTGGAGACAAAGGAGACTCTGGAGCTCTGGGACCCCGGGTGAGTATTCCTCTTGTCTAAACTCAAATTGCAGGTCGTGTTGGTGCAGCTGTGAGAGTCATCTGAATGGATGGTGTACAATCAAAGGCATTAGTGGTAGACTGGGGTTATTCCCACTGATAGCCTTCCCCTTGGTCCTTATTTTTTTTAATTCAGGCACAGGTTGTATAGATATTCTTACCAAACACCTTTTATTCTGGAAAAAAATTAGTATGAAGACCACAGCTACCCAGGTAATAAGACTTCCATTTTTCGGTTAAGGCGCTGGTCTGTGCATTTATACACAGTCAGAGGACTAGGACACTGGTCATGGAAATTGTGCAGCAGATATAATGGGAGGATAAAAGTCTATACTATACAGAGATGTGAGTGTGCTTGTAATCTGGCTTGGGGGAGGTATATTTGTGAGTATATAATATCCTGGTCTTCCATTTCCTCTAGTTTTAGATAGGTTGGGGCATATGGGATAAGATTCTTATGGGGGAAGCCAAGAATTTCCCACAGAACATTGTTCATCACTGCTCTGTCTTCTAAGGGGATGAGGAAGCAATCTACAATATGTAGATGAATAGAGAGCGGTTAGGGGACAGGCGGTGATGGTGCACGCCTTTAATCCCAGCACTCGGGAGGCAGAGGCAGGAGGATCTCTGTGAGTCTGAGGCCAACCTGGTCTACAAGTGCTAGTTCCAGGACAGGTTCCCAAAGCTACAGAGAAACCCTGTCTTGAAAAAAAAAAAAAGAGGTTAGGGGTTGCCTTAATAAATACAGAAAAAGTCAATAGTATTTTGCAAGACACAAAGATCAATTGCTGTGTTTGGAGTCGGTTTCACATAGACAGAAAGTTAGAAGTAGTCTATCTCCTTTACAATATGGACAAAATTTAAACCTAATTATTATTCTGAAATGTGTGTGCATCATATACAATGTAGTAAGGAAATAACAGTCAGGGAGGACTCGAGCTGCTCCTCTTTTGCCGCCATCTTGTAGACGAGACTAACACCCATGACTTTCCCTTGCTTTGTTTTTTGTCACAGGGTCCACCTGGGCAAAAGGGAGATCCAGGAGCTACTGAGATCATAGACTACAATGGCAACCTCCACGAGGCCTTACAGGCAAGTGACTGACTAGCTTCTGCCCTAAGCCACACAGAGTATGACACACACAGATAAGTGTATTAGTCTTCTGTTGCAACTTCTGGAAGAAAGGGTTTATTTTAGCTTACGGTTTCAAAACACCAGAGTTCATAATTGCATTAAGGCATGGCATTCTGAACAGGAAGCTGAGCGCTCACATTTTCCCTTGAAAACACGAAGCGGAGAGCAGACCAGAAGTGGAGTGGGGCTACGCACCAAGTGCGTACTTCCTCCAGCAAGGCTGCAGCACCCTGCCCCCAAGAGCATCACCAACTGGGGACTAAATGTTCAAATGCCTGAGCCTACGGGGGCGGCGGGGGGGGGGGGGGTTCTCATTCACGTCACCACCACAATGGGTCCATGCATTCATCACTATGCCTTCTTTCATCATCATTTCCTACTCACGGTCGGAGCTCCAGCCCCAGTTGTCTTTAATTTGTAGGAATTTAAACTGCTGATTTTGTTTCCCTTATATTTTAAATTCTCCTAAACCTTATCAAATATAAACATTGTGTTAGTTTAGGCAAATGTTTGCTTCCTTGCTCTATAGGGGACTTTTTACAAAGCTGAGCAGGAGCTACTTGAGTCCAGATTTCCACTGCCTTTCTCACCAGAAATGTGACCTGGCCAGTTCTTTCACTGCCATGTGCCTCTGTTTTGCCATATTTGAAATGAAGATACTAGCCGTAGCTACCTCACCGGTGGTTGATAACAAATGGCTAAAGATACGCTCATGCTTTGAAGAGTCTTTGGCAAATAGTGGCCTTCTATATGATTGTATGTTTCAAATTTGTTTCTTTTCATTCCATGAAAACTAGTTCACAAAACAGTCCATGTGGCTTGCTCTGTGACTCTCGCTTCTTAGCCATCCTTTCCATGTTTATACGTGTGCGTTATAGTATCTGTTGTCACCCAGTGGTGACCATGATAATCATCACCCTTGACTTTCCTGTCACGTATACCAAATTGCCTTCCTTTAAAAAAATCTTTATGCTTTAACCTGGCCTTCTGCTTTAATTTCTTTCATTCTTTGCCTCTAGTGAAGTCATTCTATTTTGGTATTTCACACTTTTATGCATCCTCACTTTTTTGCTAGCCTAAAGTCTCTGATCTTCCTTAGGTAGACCAGTTACTTTTTCTGTGTTGTAACAAGTTGTTTCCTGACAGTTCTGCCATTTCTGAGGTCTAGCTTGTGTATGGCTCCAGCTTTTTGGAAGAGTTCCTCCATGGCCCCATGTTTTCTTACTGACTTCCACTAATACGCCTGCTTCTACTGGTACTTTTCCCACCTACTAGCTGACATCTTACTAACTGCTACAGACTGATGATGCCACGTTTCCCCTTATTGCTCGAGACAGAAGGTTAGGAGCATCTCATGACTATTCTTAGTCCCTCCTACAGTGTCATGCCAGGAGCTTTCTCAAAACACATCTCAACACTGCTCATTCTGTCCACTCCCAAATATACATCCACATCCTGGTGATTTCCTGTCTAATCCTGTACCGGTCCTGTGGCCAATGCTGCCTCCCTGGTGTCTTCTGGCCCCTCTAATCTAACCAGTGTACGTCTCTAAGGCTGATGTTTCATAAGCTATCATTCCTTTGATTGCTCTGATTTCCTCAAATCTCTCCAAGAGTACTTGTTGTCTACTCAATCAAGACCAAACTCCTCCATCTGTCATCAGTTAAGGCTCCCTAGCACTATCGTTTCTGCAAGAGACTTTCTGTATTTCCTATGAAATAGTCCTTTTTATCATATCTTTACAAATCTCCTTTGCCTAGGATCACCCTATTGTTTTTCCTTTCTTTTGTTCATTGAATCTGATCCATAAACTTACTGCTGTCACCAGCTGATTTCTTCCTCAAAGTCAGGGGCCAATAGTGTGACATGTGATTTCTCTCTATTCACATAATTAATTTTAGTTTTCCATTACCATATTGTAAGTTTCTTGGTAACAGAAAATATGTCTTATGTTTGTGTTGCCTGGACTTGTGAATGTGCAACGAACAGTTAGCATTTAGTGGTTGGATGAATGACTGTTCTTTCTATGTACAAACTAGATACTTTAAGTCCCTCTATTTTACATCTGTTTTAATATTTCTAGCCTCATGATTTCATCAGTGTGGTCTAATTTTCATAGACCTGTACTTTTCTGTGGGCTTTGCTACCTACCACTACTGGCCTTTTGTATTTCTATCTTTTCTATTTGGACAAATGTGCATCGGATGGTGTATTCAGCCAACTGACTGATTTAGCATTCCTCATTACAAGTGGCTTAAACATAAACAGTAACCTTAGGGTTATTGTCAAATTCTTGAGCCAACTTTCTGAATGTTTTCCTTTCCCCCTACAAGTTTGTAATTATATATGGAAGGTCAGAGACAAGGAACAAGCAGGCTTTTTTGGACCCACGTGTTTTCAAAATTCTTACTTACATAGTAAAACAGGGACAGCTCTCAAAATTTATTAGCAAAGTTATACATTTCACTGAAACTACTTCCAGTGCCCTATAGGTCTTTGCTCCACCTGGAAAAGGTGCTCTAGTTACTTTCTGTGCTGTGTAGATGACCTGACTCCCCACCCCCGCCCCCAAAAAAAAACATGCTTAGAGGGAAACTTTTAGCTTATAGTTCCAGGGGAATGGTATCCATCACGATAGAGCAGACACGGTAAAAATGGTGAAAGCAATGACAGTATTGACGAAGAGCAGGACAGTGGCTATTAGTGTTGTGTCCATACCCAGGAATGAGAGGGAGAACAGGGATGCTGGTGGGCTGGGCTGGGCTATAAACCCTCACAGCCCTCATCTAGTGATGTACTTCCTCCTAAAGGCTCCACCATTAGGAAAGGTTTTTTAACCTTCCCATACAGTGCCACCAACTGGGGACCAAGCATCAAATCCATCAGGCCATGGGGGACATTTCTCATCTAAGCTATCACAAGGCCACCCACTCTCTACTCTGCCAAGAATTGCTCCCATATTACTGGCATTTTCTACAGCGTTTTGAAGGGTTTTTAAAGCATATGGGCTACACTTACACTGAAGTGGACATTTCTGTTTCACTCTTCCCTCTACCACTTAGGAGCGGGGTCATTTTAGGGAAATCACTATATTTATGCTTCACTAACCTTGTCTGCAAAATGTGAGAGCTCATAAAACGCAGTGTTATCCTTAAGGTGGTTTTCAAGAGCTCCTGAATGCCTTCTACTGAAGTTCCTGAAAGCTCTGTACATTTTGGAAAAAACATCTGACAGCTGTTCCTTGAAATGAATGGATACACACCTCCAGGGTCTTTTTATTTTTCCCATCTCGCATTCTATGCGACTGTAAACAGTATCCAGTTAATATCCATCATCGTCAATGACTTTATACTGTCTCCAAACCTCATGATATATTACAGTTGGGTCAACCATATGCTGTGTTTATAAAGAATTTAGAGTCATTTTTCAGTTGAGGTCTATTTGTTCATCATCCTCCCGACATAGTACTCTAGTGGATTAAGAGTCTTTAATGAGATCAATCAATTAAGTCAGAAAGGCATTAGAGGAAGAACTAATAAACATTTATTCTCCCCAATTTCTAACCCATGATAGATGATGCTTATTTTATTATTGTGCCCTTTAAAAAACATTTTGTCGGGCAATGGTGGCGCACGCCTTTAATCCCAGCACTTGGGAGGCAGAGGTAGGCTGATCTCTGTGAGTTCGAGACCAGCCTGGTCTACAGAGCTAGTTCCAGGACAGGCTCCAAAGCCACAGAGAAACCCTGTATCGAAAAACCAAAAAAAAAATAATAATAATAATAAAATAAAAAACATTTTGTCTAACACTCTAGAATGACTGCATGGGTATGAATTATTACAGTTGCAATTTCACACTAGAACTATGTAATACTATGAAATAGTTCAGATTATAAAAAAAAATCAATGCTAGTTTAATTGGATACTTCTCTGTATCCAGTATCCAGTGTGGGAGATAAAATAGTTAAAGGACAATGTGTATTATGTACCTAAGATAATTGACATTCTGAATTTAGTATTTATAATTTTCATCCATGCATTTGTAGTTGAATGAGAAAATTTATACTTATAACAAACTGCTGATTGCATCCTTTTGACTGGAGCTGAAGTTATGGCATAAAATAAAAACCTAACACATCTCATGATTTTTCTTTTTGACACCAAGCAACATAAAAGAGAATTTACCTCAACTGCTCTGACCCAGCTTCTCGCCCTGCCTAGCACTCCCCAGACTTCCCATTCTCATCTTCCCCATAGGGAAACATCCACATTTCCCACACCAACATGTGCTATCTATGTTCTTGCTTCCAGATCTCTTCTTTGTGTCTATTCTGTTGGAAAGATGGTTAGATTAGGTCCGTCCATGGAAAGAAAAGAGAATGTGGTTTGCGTAAGCATTGCCTTAGCCTTTTGTGTTGATTCCAGGTGGCTCCAGATTCACAATTAACAATAAAACAGCTGTTTCCTAGGTCAGATTTAAAGAGTTTTACCCGTAACACTGACTTTACTGTGATCATGATTCATTTTATATACTTAAAACCCTGGCATCATTTTCCCTTTCTTCTCTTTTTCCAGCCCCTCCAACACCCTCCCAAATTCACAGCCTCTTCTTTTTAACCATTATTGTTACCTATAAAGGAATGAATATAAATACAGCCTGTTGATCCCTTGGTACAGGAGAACCACTTAGGAGGGGGGTATAGACAGAGTTTTTCTTGGGATCACCAGTCAGCTCTGTCCCACCAGCCACTCCCAAGTAACCACAGAGATTTAACAATAAATATAAATACTCAGCCGGTAGCTTGGACTTGTTACTAATTCTTACAACTTTAATTCACCCTTATTTCTGTCTATGTTCTACCACGTGGCTCATTATCTCAGTATACCATGTTTGTCTCTGTCTTCCTCTGCACCTTGCTCACAACTCCTGAGACTCCACCCTTCTTCCCAGTGTCGTCCTAGGCTGGCTCTTTCACCCAGTCTCATCCTGCCCAGTCAGCTCTTTATTAACCAATGAGAGTAATACATATTTACAGTGTACAAAGATTGTCCCACAGCAGGGGTGTGTTCCTGGGGAATGCTAACTCTTACTCTCTTGAAAGTTGTTCATGGCTTGCCTCATCTGGGAGAGGAGAGCCCTGGGATTTCTCTCCCTTCTTCAGTGGACTGTCAACGATTGGAATTGCTCAGGTCTTGTTCAGGCAGCCATGCTGTTGACATTTCACAGGTTCTGCTTCCCTGTCATAGCTAGAAGGAACAGTTCCACAGAAGGCTTCCAGGGCCTCTGCCTCTCAGAATCTTTCTGTCCCCTCTTCGTTGATATTTGCTCGCTGAGCCTTAAAGTGAAAGAATTGGGTTATATATGTATCATTTGGGGCTGAGTCACCATCATGGTCACTTGGTCTCTGCAATTTGTTGAGTTGTGGCTTTCTGTAATGGTCTGCTTCTGTAAAGGGAAGTTTAAGTTCCCATCATCATGAAAAGTGAAGAAGAATAACCTGTAATCTGGGCAGTATTTTCATACATACGTCCCCAAATGAACCATAAAGCACAAGATGGACGTTTACAATTAGCTCCCACCTCCCATCTCAGACCATGTCTCACTGGAGTAGCATGTCTTTCTCCATCCCTTTCAAAAATTCTGGTTTTCAAATCATTACTGGTGTTCACAAGGGAGTCCAGCTGGGATGATGTAGCCTTAACGTTGAAGAGACAACCTCGTAGGACGACTTTGTGAACTGCACAGGAGGTCAAAGTGGTGTGCTGGTGAACTTAGCTGACTTTTGTGACCGCTGCTCCCTTCTGAGCTACAACGGAACCTTGACAATGTTGAGGGCTCCCAAGCAGCTGCTGGTACATCATTTCTGCTTCCTCCGGTAGCTCATTTGCCACTAATGATATTCTTTCATTATGCAGCTCGTTATTTTTTTAAAATGTTAGCATTAACATTTTAAAGAAAAAGGACAAGTGAGACGTGTCTATTTATGGAAGGATGTGAATTCGTATATGACCCTGTTAGACAGTCTGAGAGAATTCAAATTGTAAAACTGCTGACCTTCATAAAAGTTATTAATTATGCTTTCTAGTTAAAAATAGAATACATGATTGAAGGGCAATGGTGAAGAAATTCTTTTTACTCTATAATTTCCTCGTTTTGGTAAATGACTAATTTACATCCTAGGAGCAAAATAGCTTTCTCATGGCTATAAATCTAATTGTGGTGTCAAGAGAAACCTCTTTAAAACAGCATAAGAATTACTTTGTATTGTATACATCTGATGACATCTAATTGTGGGGAAGATATAAGAACTTGCTCTTAGTTTATTGACATTTTCCCTTTGTCTCAAACATCAAACTTTTTTACTGTATGATCTAAAACTGTAATCACATTGACTGCTATTATCATACAATACAAGCTTGAGTCATTAGCACATATATAAGCACAGGGTTTTCAAACGGACATTAGTGACTATATCGCTAAAGAATCATCAAAATATTTAGAGTGAAATAGATAATGTGAAAGTTATTTTTTTATAACAACAATGATAAAAATGGCACCAAAGGTTTGAATCAGAGGTTGGAACCCAAAGGGATGGTATTAAAAATGACCCCTCAGGTTTACATATCACCAGACAATGTCTCTCTGTAACCAAAAGCCCTGAATGAGAAATGACTCCTTTCTATTGCTTCAATAAGCCATGTGGAGCTCTTGGCACAAAATGTAAATGATAAAATATTAAATACATAACAAAAATCACAGAACAGGAATCACGTTTTAGAAGTCCATGCTTGGAGACTATATATTTTGTTAAAGGATTTATCACTTCAACAAACTAGATTAGCTCAATGTCAGTTTCTTTGGTTATAGCACATAAGAAGGGGTCAATTATAATGTAAAAACTGAACAACAGAGTAAGAGAAGAAAGATGCTTTTCTTTTCCCTAATTGAATCCTATCTAGAATGGAGCTTTTACCAATAGCAAATTTCACAGTTCACAATCAGACTGACCAACCCTTAGCACTTCTATATACTTATAAATACTATATGTACTTAACTATATAATTTTTTAATTACTTAACTATATAATTTTTTAATTATGTCAATTTTTAAAAATCAGGCAAATGAAAATTTTTATGCCTTGTTTTCTTATAATTTTAAAATAAAATTCTAAGAATGTTTCCAAACCCTTTATAGGTACGACGTTTTGAAGATAGGATATTATCTTTGCTGTAGCTTCTCTGTTATTTAAAAGACATTTAACTTGCCAAAATATATTTTAGAAGTGGATTTTTTTTTCAGAAATCTGTCACTTTATTTTGACACACAAAATAGGTAACTCTTGTCTTTGTTGATCCATTTTCCCAACAGAGGATTACCACCTTAACTGTCACGGTAACTCCTTTTGCATGATCTCTGTGGTTCGTGACTTTGAATTTAGTACGGATGCATGCAGGTCAAGATAGTACTAATGTAGCAATTGGTTTGATCTGGCGTTTACTTTATGTTTATGTTATTAACCTTTTAAAAACATTTGACATAGTTAAATTACTGTCTGTTCTGTGGGAAAGTCCAAAAAATATTACATTTTCTAAGACTTTAACCTCCTGTGAATAAGGTAGTTTGATCTTTTGTGGCTTAGAAATCAAAGCTTTGGCAGAGCATGGTGATGCACACCCTTAATCCCAGCACTCTCGACCCAGTGACAGCTGGATCTCTGTAAGGTCAAAGCCAGCCTGGTCTACAGAGCAAATTCCAAGACAGACAGGACTACATAAAGAAGGGGGGGGGGAGGAAGGGGAAGGAAAGAAAAAAGAAGAGAAAGAAAAGGAAGGAAGGAGGGAAGGAAGGAAGGAAGGATAGGAAATCAAAGCCTTTGAAGTAGATGGCTAAGGGTGGAAGGTGACATCAGATCAGTCACAAGAAGTTGTGGGCAGAACAGAGGGCAGCGATTTCAACTGTCTTGTCAAATCCAAAGCTTTTTCTGTAGTACGGTGACTTGGAGAGTGTGCCGATAGTTCAGAACTCTAATTGGCAGTTGTTATCATCATGAAACTGATGAAATATTGCCCCACTGAAAGTCAATATCTAGGCATATTTGATGACAATAGAAGATGGGGCTGTGTGGTGTGCTTGTTATTTTTAAAGCCTGAAATTTTAACATGTATATTTGCTATGTTTTTCCAACTGTGTCTTGTCTTGATTCAGGGCCCCCCTGGACCTCCTGGACCTCAAGGACTACAAGGGCCAAAGGTTATCCTTCCTTACTTGTCTCTCTTTATCACATACAGTGCAGAGATGCCATTTTTATTTTATTTATTTTATGCCGTTTTATTTATTTAAGAATGTATGTCTTTATAAAATATGTCTTCCAAATTCCTAGAGAAGCAAGGCCAGAAACCCTGTTTCAAAGGACAAAGAAACAGTATTGGAATCTCCAGTAAAGGAAGAAGGAGAGCTCCAAAGGAAGGAGGGAAAATGAGGGAAGAGGGAGAGAAATGGAATGACACAGATTTAGGAAAGGACACTGAGAAAGTACAGAGTAATAAACAAGAAAGGTTAAGTTTCACAGAAGTTATAAAGGTAAAGCAGCAATCCACACGTCTTAGAGGAAAGGATAAATATTCAAACAAGTGAGGATTGATGCACGTTTACTCTTGCCACTAAGAAAGACTATTTTTTCCAATTCTTTTGTAAGAGGAAAACAAGGAGAGGCTTCCCATGATGCATTCATGAGTGACTGGCAGGTTTAGGAGTCATTCTCGAGACGTTTTACACGCCTTCTCTTTGTTACATGCATTCAGACTTTCTGCCACACGTTGTGTTGAGTGAAGCGTACTGACCACGAACAGCAAAGTCCGAAACGTCCTGGATTATACATCAGCTTTGTTGGTGGTATTAGCTTTACTCCCCCGCCCCCAAACTAAAGCTTTGTCATTCCACCATGTTTGATCAATTAACACAAGTCCAGGGATTCTGGCTTTGCAGAGCTGAGCTACGCGTGTTGAAATACGACTTTCGTCATTGGATTCTTGTAGGAGATTCAAGTGGTTTCGAAATTCATTTTTTATTTATGCTTCTTAGGTTGGTTTATTTGCTGGGCCTGTCATACACACACACACACACACACACACACACACACACACACATACATTCATGCACATGTCAGCTTTTGTGCTTTCTCTGGATGCTTAAAAATAAATGTTCAGTGTTAGAGAAGTTTATTTCTCTATTGAAAGACCATAAAGTAAACTATTTCTGAGGTTCTTGTCCTTGTGAGATGTATTCAGGGCATAGATCCTAATTACCAAAATATTTTTGTGTAACAGAATCATCTTCCACGTATAACATTAATGTATGATATGGAATTTTTTTAACTAGTTTTCTACATAGTCTTGTCCCTGAAAACACACACCAAATAGGCCAAATAAGTCATTCACTGTGCTTCTCTTTGATGAGCCTCTGCATGGATCCCTCTCCTTAACCGTCTATTGATCTGGGCTAGACATAGAAGGAACCCTGGCGACTCTCTGGTCCTTCGTGTAGCGTCAAACCCAATGAAATTTCTTGCTTCATCTCCTCTCATAACTAAATCTCAAGAAGCAGAATTTTCCCCAAAGCTAAATACATATTTCATTTCCCACAAGGCTTCTAAGATATCTCCGCAGCTCCGAGGCCTAGCAAAGGCAGCCATGTTTTGATTTAAAGAAATGAAAAGGGCTACCCAGCTAAAAACGCTGTCTCACTAAACCTTCCATCTCCCCGCTTATGATCACTTGTTAATTCAGTTGCCCAGGAGGTAATGATGAACCTTCACTCCCTGATGTGGTTTTGAACCTGCAATGTGAACCTGTAAGATATCAGTAAGAACATAGAACCCAGCGTGTGAGACAGGCTCCTAAAGGCATGGTCGCTAATAGAGTAAGCGCTCTGCTTAAGAGTGTGTGGGATGAGAGCTAGGGTATGATGGCTCAGTGGTTAAGAGCATCAACTGCTCTATCCAGAGAACCCAGATTCCATTCCCAGCTCCCGTATGGTGGCTCACAACCATCTATTACTCTAGTCTCAGGGTGTCTGACACTCTCTCCTGACCTCTGAGAACACCAGGGGCACACACGGCACAAAGACATACCTGCAGGCAAAAATACACATAGAAATAAATCTTTTTGTAAAAAAGAGTCCGCGGGGTGGATATGCATAGGAACGCCCTCTAAGCCTGGAAGTCCAAGATGGGTTTGAGTTGAAACTGAAGAAAGACAGGGAGATGGTAACCATCTGGAAATCGGTACATGTGGTATTAGAGAAGGCATCCAGTTCCTGCCCGCTACCTGCCCCTTCCCCATCTTGCCCACCATTCTGTCATCTTCAGCCCGCCCATCCCCGTGTCTTAGCATTAATATCGTGTGACGTGACAGGCCTTTATACTTCCCATGACCCCTTCTTGAGGAAGTTGGGATGACTGAGGTGGGTGTGTGTCACTATGAGCCAGCGCAGCGTGCCCTGAGGCGAGCGTAGGACTTATCCCCCGTTCCGGACTCACCGCGTTCTCAGACTGGCAGTAGTCTAAGTCACCTGGAATTTCTCCTTCCCGTGTCAAATAAAAGGTGTTTTCATTTTTCACACATGAAAAAACTCTTACAAACCACACTTGAGTGATAGAAGACCTATGAATCTGGTTGTTCTTTTAGCCTCCCTGGTCCACATGTGTAAGGGTAACAGTTCAGCAAAGCTATAGCGATTCACTAGAGTGTTGACAGATATCCAGACTCAGAATGAAGCCGGGACTCAGCCGGGTGCATCCAACCTCAGTAGACTTGTTTGTGGCAAAATAAACTTTGCTACTGCCATAAAGAACCGGAAACCCGAAAATAAAAGGAAAGGCCTTTTTTTTTATTTCATTGCTTTGAAACCACAAGATCCTGCCTTCCTCAAACACTGGGAAAGCTCAGGTTTCATGCTGTGGTCTACCGCTCTTAAAGTCCTCCCCCCCCCCCCCCCAGGAAAGGGAACTCTAGCGGATGGAACTTTGTGGTTTTACACTATTACCAAAAAAAAACCCTTCCTAGAAAACACAGCCTCAGGGCAGCACCTGGGAAAACCCCTCTATGAGGGACTTGCTCACACCAAGAACCGTCTTCACACTTAGCACAGGGTAAATTGGGGCTTATAATACCATCCACATGGAGAGTTAAGTGGTATAAAAAAATGCCTTCCCTTTCAAAGGGTTTTTGCTCTGTTATCCTTCAAATCTGGGGGAAAAAAATGACTAAACATGTATTGTTTAAATAATCTCTCGCATGTTGTTTAGATTTCCTTTAAATTAAACATCTTCCATTTAAAAAATAAATCTCCGTATTCTGAGTTTGTCAAACATGCTAATAAATCATACTATTAAAAGTTCATTTATTTCATTTCTAGCAGAGTATAGGAAGTGGAAAGGGTCTGAGGGTCACTTCATGGGGATTAAGATATCTGATTTATTAGGTCCTCCAATGGGGCTTTTCTGGCCCGGGCACACTCACAGCCATTATGAACATTTCACATTATGCCAGTTAAAATATTGCCATAAATTTACCAGATTTTGCCTTTTAGTCTTTCTTGGTTTGACTGCTACGTTTTGATGGTTACTGAAAATTAGAGAATCCATACTGATTCCTCCCTTATAAGAAAAAATAATAACACAGTAATAGAAGTGTTGCTGTAGAATGTGGGCAGCCATTGAATTGTATATAACCAATGGGACACTGGAAGAAAGGTGAAGACAGTCGCTACTTGCTACCAGGAGTATTATTACACACAGTTCTCAAAGATCATCCCTTCACTTAGTATAGATCTATGTACTATACCAGCATGTTCTTGGCTTAAAATGCATTTGCTAAAAGTCAAAAACTGTACTTTTACCAACTAGCGTGACTTCTGTAGCAATGATAAATGCAGGCAAGTTCTTGCTTTTTATTTTGTCAGGGTGAGCAAGGATCTCCAGGAATTCCCGGAGTTGATGGAGAACAGGTAATTTTCCAATATCTATATGGTTATATAAAGCACCATTATTGATCACTACTTTTACTATAGGTTTAAAGCCAAAAGTCATGTCTTTTCATAGATGATGCTTGCCCTCTCTTTTTTTCGTCATTTGTTCCACTTGAAAGCCAAAAATACAACTAGTTTTAAATTAGATAAAAATTTTGTTGGTAGCAATGTAAAGCTATGTGTTACTCTTGCTTTGTGCTTGATACTACTGACCTGTCAGTCTGCCTCAAAAGAGTCTAGTAACTAGACTCTGAAATCACTACATTAGTTAAGAACAGCTTCAGGTTTGACTTTGGTTTTTTTTTTTTTTCAGTGAATATAAGCAATTCAGTATCAAAATCAATGGCCATAGTTTTCATAAATAATAGCATGGCTTATCTACAGCCATTTGATAATGCCTCCTTTTTTAGTGATTTCCCCTGATTTTCTAGAACTTTTGAAAAATCAGACAAAAGTGAAGCGCTGTTGCTTTGTCCACTATAGCAATATTTTCAGAGCGTCCTCAACACAGAGGCTGCTAACGTTTCTGTAAAATGCGATATAAATACTTTAGGCTTTGTGGGTGCATAGTATCTCTTTCATGAGTCCTTTTCTTTAAACATGTCTTACTTTTTTTAATTCAACATAAATAAAATCAGTCCCTAGGCTGGACTTGGCATGTCGGCTGCGGCTTGGCATCCCTGCCTTTTCAGGGTTTTGCTAAGAGAATGCAGACAGCATCAGGAATCAAACCACAAGGATTAGTTTCAAAATCTTTGAGGTTATATGGACTTCCATTGTTTTCTCAAAAAAAAAGAAAAATGGCTCAAGGGATGGAAAGACGGCTTGTGGGTTGAAAGCATTCATTGCTCTTGCAGAGGACCTAGGTTCAGTTCCCCACATCCACACCAGGCAGCTCGCAACCACCTGTCACTCTAATTCCAGAATGTCAGGTGCCCCCCTCTGGCCTCCACAGGCCCCAACACATATGTGATGCCCATCATCATATTCAGGCCCACACACAGAAGGGAAAAAAATGCAGTTGAATATATTCAAGAAATACCTAGAATTAATGGATAAGAAATCAAAAGAATTCTTGATCTACAAAGTCAACCATATACTCTTCAGGAGAAAGTATGAGATGAAAAAAATACTGAACTTTAGGAGAATAGTTATTTTTAATAACAGAGCTGGATATTGAGGTCATATAGTGTCACATTAAACAAATATTACAGAAAGGGTAATTTAGTCAGTTTGCCATGGCAATCAGAGGTCACATGAACAATAACATTTCCCCATCATTAGTAATTAAAGATAACAAATTAGACGTGTATAATGACATACTGAATGTACCTAAATATACAATATATACAATAGTTGGATTTTTTTTTCTCTATTGTCCTTGTAAGATCCTGTTCTCCCACTAAGCCTCTTGGATTAGCCTTGTTGCTTTTCCCTGTCACAAGATCCCTAAAGCCAAATGATCTTGCTGATTCACCAGCAGGATCTATTTACCTTTGCTGGTACTGCCCCACTCCCCCAGTACGTGATTCTGAACTCAGTATAAAGCTGGTTAACAAATTAATATGTGTTCTTGTTCCTAAGATGAACAGGCCTGTGCAGCTTGTGAATCCCCTACCATGGTAACCATGACCATCTGGTCAGATTGCCACAAGGTTGCCAGGATGAAAATGCTGAAAAATATTAATTAATTTCAGTGTTAGGGTTCCATAACTCACATTTGTTAGCATTCAAAACCCACACATCTGTCTCTTCATTCTAAAAGAATAGTAACTGCATTTGGCTCACATGTAGAGATGTCATGAGAACCGCACACAAACTGAGTGTGTTAAAGCATTGATTGCACACCGGTGCTGGAAACTGATGGCAGCGAGAACTTATGCATACAGTAAAGAGGTGGGAAGGGCTGTGTGGAACTGGAAACTTTTACTTGGATCTTTGTTCTTATAACAACACTAAGTCCTGGTTCACATGTCTTCTGTACTGCTAAGAATTACAGTCATGACATTGTCTTCTGGGCTAGTAGGATACAATTAGTTGTCGAGCAAACTTATGAAACCAGGAGAAATCGTGCCAAATACCGACTTCATGTTTTTCGTATTTAAGCAGTCTCTAGAACGTCATCCTGTTGCATGGGGAAATATTATTGATCCAGTGTAGGGGGCTATAAGAAGAATACCGGAAAACAAAAGGTATCGGCCTCTCAGCTTGCACCCGCTGCTTGGCAGATTTATCTGGAATCCCATTGGCCCCGGGATCTGCCTATCAGGTTGTCACTATGCTTCTCACCTGCTGACTCTATCTCTTGCAGGGTCTCAAAGGCGCCAAGGGAGATGTAGGGGACCCAGGGATGCCAGGTGAAAAAGGAGGAATTGGACTTCCTGGATTACCGGTATGTTCACACTCTGTGCGCTCTGGCTAAAATAAGTGACTAGGAAAGAATTGTATATTCAACTCCACTCCCAGCCAGGGGTTTCCAAACTGGTTTCATTTTTGAAATAACAAAGTATCGTTGCTTAGTTTTTCCAAGTGGGACACTAAAATTTTAAAGTATAACCACATTAATTAAAAAGTAAGTGGTTTCTTTCCTGAATCATTTTCTTTAGATGGTAATAAAGCAAATAGAATTGGCCATTTGAGTTTAATATGTATAGCCAAGTAATTATCATAAAGTAAACAACAGTAAAGAAATATAAAAAGCACAAAATCTCAAAACTTTAGAACCATTAAAGAATAGATTAGTCTGTGTGTCTATACTTTGGGGTAGTGCTTATTCCCCCGACTTACTGTGTCTCTGAAACTTTAGGGAAATATAGAAAATATAAGGAAAAAAAAGTAGAGAGGTTTCCCTACCCTCTACCCTCTCCCACCCTATGCCCAATACTGATGATTGAACCTTACTTGCCAACCAAGCCCCTCTACCACTGAGCTATATCTCAAATCCTTTTTTTTTTTTTACTTTCTATGTTAAAAAGTTGCATAGGCTGCCTTGAACACACTCTGAAACACAGGCCAACCTTGAATATTTGATCTTTCTGTCTCAGTCTCTCTAGTACCAGAATCTCAGGCCTGTGCCCTCAGGCCTACATCTTCAACCTGTTTTTAAAGAAGAAACTATAGATAAATGTCAGTGGAACCAAAGTCTCACCTTTGCTATTTAAAGTGAGCACACTGTAAAAAAAAAAATAACATTTATAATCCTGTATATTTAATACTGTGAAATCAGGCTCAGCCTGGTTTCTATTTACTTTGTATTTTGCTTTATATAGCACTCATAATCCTAGGGATTTTAGTATGTTTAACGCTTTGAACTAAAGTGCGTGGAGATAAAACTTCTTATGTATGATCTGCAGAATATAAAAATTCAAGGCAACCAAAGTCCGGTTGTCTGTTAGACCTTGGAAATAACTTTCCTGCTAAATCTGCTTCCTGGTTCTTTGTAGGGTGCCAATGGAGTAAAAGGAGAGAAAGGAGACTCTGGGTTGCCGGGGCCTCAGGGTCCTTCTGTAAGTCCATGAGGTTGACATGGGAGTATCATCTGCCTAGATCCCCCTGTGCCAGATGCCTAATCGGTAACAGAAATAGTCATTCACTTGGTGCATCAAACTATACGTGATACATTTTGGTCTTGTACAGTAAGAGACGGTGTATCTCAGAAGTTTGAGTTAGAAGCAGTTTTTCAGAGCTCTCGGGAGAAAAAAGAAATCAATGGGTTTCCCATAATGCTTATAGGGAATGCCTCGTGAAATAAGAACTTGCATTCTCTTTTTCTCTAGAGTCCCATTTGTGCTTCGTGAAATAACCGAGGGCTTAATCGCGGTTGCAGAATTATAGCATTTCTCAATAATCAGTTGCTTCCTTTTCTTTTAATATTGTTTTGATTTACTCTGGGTTTTTGTAGAACAACTATAGTATTTGAAGTTATTTGATTCTCATGGAGGAGTTTCTAAAGCCAGAGAATCAAGCCCAGCTCCCCTCGCAGGGTCCTTTCTCCTCTATGGCTATTGATGGCATTAGCAGAGCCCTAGAACAGGACCCGTGCTGTACTGCCTTATCGATGTGAAGTAACCACACCCGTGTTTCTTCTTTGGACACACAGATCATAGGCCCACCAGGCCCGCCAGGTCCCCATGGCCCACCTGGCCCCATGGTAAGTTTTCTTCTCCCTGGAATGTGGTCATTTCTCTGCGCGTGTGCTACTGGAGAAAAGATGAACACCGCCGGCTTTTGTTTGGCACTGTTCTCTGGGGAATGCACAGAAGTGAGGTGCTTTGACCTCTTTACGGCGCTGTCTTTCATTCCCCTAAACACGTGTGTTAGAAAGATGATGCGCCGAGGAGAGATGGGCCTGGCAAGCTTTCCTCCATTGCTGCACGAACATGGCAAATCGTCTTATCCAGTCATTGCTGTAGGCTGTTAATAGCAAGTAAAGGCACTAACTGAGCTGGTGAAGAGGGTTTCCAAGCAGCTTTGGCGCTTGAGAACCTTCCCTGAACGCTCCAGTTAGAACATTTGTTAAAAAAAAAAAAAAAAAAAAAAAAAAAAAACTGCCATAAAGACGGAAGCTGGCTTCCACAGATGACATAGAGTGTGGAGCTTTCTCCTTCCGTGTTAATGACTCTTCTGGTAATTCACGGAGCCAGGCCGTGTTTGCCACAGTTGTCTCCCAGTGGGCAGGGGAAGCAGCATTCCTGAACCCGTAGAGCTGCCAGTGGGAAAGGCAGCTATGAAGCAAGTGTGACGCTCTAAGTGCTGGAGGACCAACAGTTGTGCTTAGGCTAGAAAGTGGGCAGCAGAGTGCTTCGAGTGCTTTTGACACAGCGAGGAACCAGGCAGGCTATAACGTTACACCCGTCTCTCGGGCGTCCTCATAAACCGAAAGACATCAATAACGGAGATGAAAGCAAAGTGTGGCCACTCTCCACTCCAACTGCACTCTAGAGGGAGCATCGTGGGTCGGATCCTAGCCACAGCGTAGCCTGCTCACCCAGGTCTCACTAACTCCTCCTTTCTTTGGTAAACAACTTCCCTTAACCCTCTTCTCTTAACACCAAAGAGAACATTAAGAATGAATCAAGTGGCAGATTTTTGCCTTTTTATATTTTTTTCACTTTACGTTAGAGGCTAAAATTTAAAAAGGCTACATCCTGTTCAAACGATAAGGTTAATTAGCTCAAAGGAATTTTAGACCATTATTATCTTGAGATACGAATCCTCAATAATAAGAACCCATTTCCTGGAAGCGTTTATCCGCAACTTATCAAAAAGGGGAACATTACTCGAATGTAGACAGATGTAACGAGTATCTCAGGGAACATGGTCAGCTATTTTTCCTTCTGTTTTATTTCACTGGTGGATATTTAAATATGCATCTCCTCAAATAGCTTATGAGAATCTCTTTCAAAGTTCAAAGCAATCCACAATAACCTTCAGTTAATTTAAATTGATAATTAGTTCCTATATTTGTATTTTCTGCCAAACAACTTTCTTTTTATCCTGATTCATACATCCATTATGACATCCTTTCTTTGATAAACAATATTAGGAGAGCCGTAAAGGATTCATTTCTGTAACAATAAATGCAATCCAGATCATATCGCTTCGCCCTCTTTGATCTTAAGCTAGATGACTAACTTTGCAGATTCCCAGGCTCGGCTGCCATCTTCCTGTTGCCTGTAGGTTCTTCAACACCTTGGTGATGAAGACTTAAAGAAAAAGATCTCTTCTTCCTTGCTACTCACACTGTAGAGATTTTTTTTCCTGAATTTTCTTGGCTTTTTATGTTCTACCTCTATTGCATAAAAATTCATGAATCATCTCAAGTATTCCACCAGGTTATAAAATGGAAATCTGAGATGTACCTGTAATGTAATGACAAAACAGGGCTTCTCTTTTTGCCTAATTTTTCTTCCATGGAAACCCCAGCAACTTTCCCCTCTCATAGGCATTTAACAGGCAGAATTGCTCTTAATGAATTTCCTATTACAGAGCAATCCAAGAGCTGGAAGGAACATTTGGTAGGTAATAAATAACATTCCACTGACCTGCCTCTGGCTATAACACAAACAAGAAGATTCTTGTCTTACTTCTCGTTTTATACTTGATATAATTCTCATTTCCACAAGGAAGCGGTGAGTCAGTTTTTAATTAAAACTTTGCTTTCCATTTTTAGGGACCCCACGGACTTCCTGGACCAAAGGTACCAGCAAATCCCTTGATTATTTGATTTCTATTTCCTTGGTGGTCATGGGCAAGCATGACGGAAGCATGTCTGTTCTGTCTTATTTATTTGTCAAGTAATGTTGATAGTCTTTAAGCCTTTAAGCATCCAGATGTTTAACGCTCACAATGCAACATGACTCAGAATGAGTTTAAATGCTATCACCTGGAAATAAACCATTCCTCATTTTGCTTTGTCTCTTGTCACTACATAAGTTTTTAAAATACATGGTATATTAAAATCTTCCCATTACAAGCCTCTTGATGAAATTTCCAGGCTAAGTCAGGAGCTCTCTGGTTTTTTGTTTGTTTGTTTGTTTGTTTTGTTTTGTTTTTTGGTGGCAGTAGTTCTATGTTTTCTTTCAACTGAAGGTCTTGCTTATCACACATGACTGCTGTACCTGCCTGCTTTGGCTACCCAGCATCCCAGTGTTTTACTTCCTATGGGTCATAATCTAGAATAGGATGGGGTATGTCAGCTGTGACGTCACAAAATTCACGTGAATCTGCGCTGCCTACTCGTCATCTTAAAACCACACACTAGAAATGTGCCCACGTGCAAAGCCACGAATCTCAAGTTTAGAACAGTGACCACTGAGCCTTGGCCTCCAGTGCATTGTTGACGGTGACACGGTGGCCTCAGGATTAGACTTGGTCAACTGTGGTTACACTACAGACTCATGTCTTCAAGTCTACTATGCTGTGACAGTGTGGGGGCCTGAAAGTTCAAATACATAGCATGGCCTCATGGGTGCATCCACTTCAGTTTTCCCAGAGTTTTCTGGTGAGCATCCTTGTCTAGGCAGCTGTTAGGAGACCCTAGACTCTGGGTGTAATGAGCAGCGCGCTGCATTTCACCATCAGGCAGGCAGATTGGATAATACTTCGCAGCTTAAAAATCCCTTCAGCCAATGTGAGCATGACCCTCATACAGTGAGGTCACCTTCCTTTCACAAGTCTTTCCATGTTTTCCAAACAAATAAAAAGTGCCATGCCCGAACTTCCCGTCTCTAACATGTGATTGCTGACAGGCCATCAGCATACTATATATTCCCGGCTTTTTCCTAAACTGAGTCAAGAGGATTTACCTCTTCCCTGGCTCTTGTAATGTCATCCCATGTTAAACCTTATTTCCTTCATGCTAACATGGCGCAGACAGTTAGGGAAACTATATTCAAGTTCTCTGATCTTCATATTCTCTTCTGGGACTGTCAGCTTGTAGTTAACTCTATTGATTAATCCATGCAGGGACCTGACTTGGCAGTGTCAGGGAATGGGGACTTCCAGCCTGGCATCACTTCAGATGTCAGCGACTCCATGTTCAGTTCATTCTCCTGGGCAAAATGCTTAAAGGCTTAAAATGTCTGTCTATAACACTGCCCTGCAGATTCCAGTTTTTAATCCCAGCAGAATGGGGTTTTCCAGCAGATCCCATCAGCATCCTCTGCTCTGATTGTCTCTGATTTGCTAAGTCAAAACAATGCAACACTAAGTTCCTCGAGGTGGAACTCCAAAATCCGTGCCGTCAGCTCTACATCTTCTGGTGATACTCAACACGTTGCTTTCTGTAATATTATCTGTCATCTGTAGTTTATTAAACTCTAGCTTAGGTGCACCACCAGCTTGGCCTCTCTCTGCTGTCACCTAAAACTGGAATCTGCAGGTGTTTCGGAGACTGGGTCTCTTCTCTCACAGTTTAAACACCCATGATAGCAACCAAAATTGGCATTTGCTTTTGCATTTAGGGTGAACCAGGGTTAAATGGTGTTAAAGGAGTGAAGGGTGAACCAGGTCAAAAGGGTGACAGAGGACCCCTTGGTCTTCCAGTAAGTAAAGAAAACTTTCCATTTCGGTGCAAATCTCAGATTTGTATTTCTGCCCTAAGTGACAATGCTGGTTTGCTCAGTGGCTAGCTCACAGTTGAGAGTCCTGTCCTTCGAATGTCAGGATGTCAGAGCAGAGCACAGCCCAGTTTCGTTTTCCCTGATGTCTTGATCTCATGTCTCGGGGTGACCCCATAACAAACACCACCGCAAATGTTCCGTCACTCGTCAATTCCATCCATGCCAACCTTGCTCTTGTGGGGCTGACAGACAACCTCTGCCAGTGTCTCTTCTCAAAAGCAATGTTTATCGTTTTACAAATCTCTCCCAAACGCTTTTATAGTCTAATATAGTAAGACCCTCCCTCCATTGTTTTCATCTTCTTGGAGTCTATAGAAACTATAGCTCTCCATTGGTGGCAGGTATGCAATTGGCCATTGCCGAGGTCAGTGCTGTGACTCCTTCCATTAATCAACCACATTGTGTTCTATATGTTTTGTGTTGTCCGTTTTGGAGATTTTCTGCTATGAGATTCATGGGACAATAGTAGACAGCATGGAAGAAGTATTCTGCCATTGTAAAGATTTCATTCGTAATGAAAAGGAGTTTTACCCATTCATATACTTTATGCCAATATTCTTCCCACAACAACTTGACTTTTTGAAATTATCATTGAAGGTAGTGGTTTCATTTGGGGCTTTTAATGCGTTATTTATTCAGTAAAGGAAGATAAGGGTCAGTAAATAATATTGTAGGTTATGTTTATAAAATATGACATACAACCAATAACAAAAAATAGTTCTATATTTGAGATGTGAGATAAAAACGTTGGTGGTCACCTATCTCGTTATTCCCACGGGTACTGTGCATTCAGTACTAACGTCCATTAAGTCATAACGCCCATGACTTGTAAGTTGCACGTAGGAAGTGCTTTGTACACATTTACTTGCTAAGTGAATCGTATAAGTTTTGTTATAATTTCAGTTAAATTGTGCCAGTTGGATCAATGGATCATAGCACAAGACGTTCACAAAGCCACTAGCTCTGCACCCCAGTTAGATACATAATCTTGTGATCGATATAAATATCCCTTTTTTCAACATGCCATTAAGATTTAGATATAAATATAATTTTAACATCTATCTTCAAATGTTATAATAGCAACTAAAAAAGTCAAAAGGGCTTATCATTACACAGCAACAATGCCTACTGTTCATAATTGTTGCTACCTAAAGCTCTATTTTGTAGTTAGAGCATTGATCATGACAGGATCATACTGAAGGAAATTTTAAATTAAAAAAAAAAAAAACTAAAAATATCCTAAATGTATGTGTTGGCATTGCTGGCAGATGGAATCGATTTTTTTTTCTTTCATTTTTTGTTATTAACTACTCCTGAGGTATGAAGCTGAGCGAGAGCTCTCCGGCCTGGCCAAGAGACTCGAAAGCGCTAACACAATATCTTCTTAAGTGTTCTGTGTCACAGTCTGTATCTTTGAAGTAACAAGTGTTGGGGATCTGCTATATAAGAGCCTAGTTAAGAAGGATCAGCCACAAACAGAGAAAGTGCCATTGTATCATCATACACACACCATTGTATCACATGCACCATTGTATCACACGCACCATTGTATCACACGCACCATTGTATCACACACAGCCCGACAGGTAGCCCTCAACTGAAAATAAAGAAAAGCATGCATTAATCTGAGAAGATTATGTTTTTAAGGCATTTCTCATGCAAATATCAAAGATATATAAAGATTATTTGAACCAAACTGAGGGACAAACTGGGACTTATTGTACCTTGAGCCCACATTTTTTTTCCTGTTCCTAGAAGTCCCTCTAGTGGCGACTAATGTGAACTTTGGGTCGACAACATAAATAGCATCCATATAAAATCAAACCATCCCAATAGAATAAAGCACAGCATTTTCACCCATAAAGCCGTGTTGGCAAGTGTAGTCAGAGTTCTGGAGTCTTTTCCTCCAGAGATTTCCACTACTTTCTCTTCAGAATAGAAAGAAACATGTCATGAATAATAGTCTTCAGAAGATGAATTTCATGTGGCCATATAGCTAGGAGCCCCAAGGACTTTGTAGCCCACTGTGTAAACCTCATTCGCCAGATTTCTCGATGAGAATTTCCTGCTAGAAATGTCACTAGAATGCCATCATCTCTGGGGGCATGTATTGTCATGTGATTTTTTAAACTAACTATTTGTAGCGATGTGATATCCATCCCAGGACCCCGTGACTGTGTATTACGTTGCTTGACGTGTTGCATTTGTTCATCGGTGCCTCGTACTAATCTCTGTTCTTGTCATTTGTGTCACACCTACCAACCCCGATACCAACCCAATCACACAGGGAGCATCTGGCTTAGACGGAAAGCCAGGATCCCGGGTGAGTCAGCCCCGCGTCCTGCTCCCACATACTTCATGGATGTGCATCGGGTGCTCTGGGGAAGACCCCTTCATTCCTTGGGGGTCTTCTCGGATGCTGAGGGGTTGCCTAGGGAAAGGAGGATGAGGATGATGGAAGTGAGAAAGAGGGACAGAGAAAGGGTTGCAACCCGAAGGTATAACCTTAGCTGCCAGGTCTTCCTCAGAAGTTCAAGTCTGGATGTTTACTAAGAGAGAAGAACGCTGAGTCCTGCTGCCTTCAGTGTCTCAACAACCTAAAACAATTCATAAAAACCTTCCCTGTAATCCCATGACAAAGGCTCCGAATGGGGAAAATAAGGAATTTATTTTAACTTGTTTTTCCTTTACATTTCTGTCCATCTTAAAATTGTAATTTCTTCCTTAAAATGAACCTCCAAGTCTCTACTCATGGCATGCATTGTGTGTCTCCATCATTTTTATCATTTTTTGTTGTTGTTGATTTGGGCAGCTCAGTTTTTACATGTTTACCATAGTCGGTCAGTATTTAGAAGCCTTGTGGAGGTGAACTTTGCGATGAAGCAATGAGCGCATGATTAAGATAAATAAGAATTCACCAACAAGAGAATGAATTTGAAACTCTGAATTCTTTCCTATTCAGACATTCTAACAGAATCCATGTTCTGCCAGAACAGCCATGGGAGTAAGCTAGACAAGCTGAAATGAAACAGTCCTCATGTGTGCAAACACTGTTGTGCACTCTTTACTGCTTAAGCATGGTCTTCCTGACAATCGAGCAAATAACCCTTATGACATTTTTTTTAAGAATCAAAATTTTCAGTTCTACAACTCTTCAGGCAGTTATTATTTTCCACTGGACCCCAGAGTTCTTACATTCTTTCAGATATTATCTTTTCTGCAACAGAAACCAATTATATCAATCAAGTAACTTGACCTGCCTGATGTGTAAAGTCTAGAATGACCACCCCCCACCTCGTGAGCCCCTGTTATCCCAATAGAGCTGCAGAAAGATGATTCGAAAGTTAAACACTATTCTCATTCATATGTTTTCCACTTAAATTGCTAAAAAAAAAAAAAAAAAAAAGTTTTGAGGCTTTGGCCATGGGTGTCAGTGACTGTGGAGAACAGACTTGGGGAAAAGACAGTAGAAAGAAAGGATGGTTATACTTTCCTGGTTATGATTATGGAGGTGCGGGGCTGGAGAGGCAGCTCAGCAGTTACGAGCACTGGCTTCTCCTGCAGAGGACCCGGGTTCAGTTCCCAGCATCCCACATGGTGGCTCACCACAGCTCTAACTCTGCTCTGGGGATCTGGTGCCCTCTTCTGGCCTCCATGGAAACTGCACACACATGATGTTCATACATACATGCAAGTACTCACAACACATACACATAAAATAAAAAATAAATTTGGAAAAAATGATGACAGAAAAATGAAGCTGCTTCATCAGATAAAAATAAATTAAAATAAATAAATAAGAATGAAATATGGATTTTGTGTATACTCTTTGTGGAAGCATGCAGTTAGATGTCTCATTCCTGTTGCATGAATTTCTCAAGAATAACTGGCATGAAAAACCATCAAGAATAAAGTGCTTTAGAATCAGATAAGTTATCTGAAGAGATCATTCTCTAAGATAAGTCAGAGTAAATCAGAATTTCTCTTCTTGCAATCCTTGTCTCTCACTGGTCTCATAGTATTTTATTTTTATCTTTTTTTTAGGGTGCAGATGGTCCCATAGGACCCCATGGCCCTGCAGGTCCCAAAGGAGAAAGAGTAAGTCTCTCTCTGGGTTATCACACTTAAGCTGAGCACTGAAAGAGCAAAGCATGGCTTCAAAATGATCTCAAACTGTTCATTGTTCAGGAATGATGGGGGCTATCTAGTATTAAGTAAAAATATTGCCCATTTGAAGCTCTATTCAGAGTCCTAAGACTTCGAGAAGAAAACCATACAGCATAAAACGGAATCAGTCTGCCTTAATGAAAACAATGCATACATTTACATAGCTAAAATAAATAGCTCCCATTAGTCCTTCTTAACCCATAAGGAAGATATTTTCATTGGGCCTTCATCCAGAAAGTTGAAGTCAATGAAGCTAAAATTTCTAGAACTACATATTCTGGTTGATAATCTTAATACAAAGCTACTGTATTCATTCCAAGTAAATTCTAATATTTTTCCAAAGGAAATTACAAAACCTAAATATTCTTCTCCACACGGTCACCCGTGCTCTCATTTTTCTTTTGTGAGTTAAATAATGACCTGTTTTCCTATAGCCATAAGGAAATGATTTCAGTGCAGTATAAAATGAAACCCTTTCACTAACCTCACTGTTCTAGTCTATGCTTCCATATCCTTTGGAGGAAAAAAAAAAGATAGACGTTCGGGGGAAGATGAATATCTGACACACAAAAATGTGCAGCAGCCTCAGCAGCTGCTCGTGTGTCTAGAACCTCTTCTCTTCTCACAATTTTTTGCCCACTTTTTCTTTTCTTCACCTTGGAAATCTCGTGTGTGTGTGTGTATGTGTGTGTGTAGAATTGCGAGCAGTTTCCCTACCACACACCCTACGAGATGAGGAAAGGATGTTGAATGTGAGCATTGCATAATGTTGGCATGGTGCAAGTTTGTGGTCTTTTTAAAATGAGAGTTTTCATCAGTCCAGGGTAATTTTATTTCTAAAGAGAGGACCAGGTAAGTAGCAATGTCTCTGACATGCCTCCTAATTCCCCAGTCCTGTGTTCTGTAAATTCATACATGCAATAATTGCTTATGAGATGCAACTGTGCACAATGCAATCCTTCAGGAGTGAAAGAAACACTTCTACTTAAAGAAACCCCCTTTGCTCGCTGCTCTGCTACACTGACTATAGCCTTATAATTGATTCATCATCACAGAGACTCATTAATAATCATAAATATATGCATAATATATAAATAATGTTGCAGAGGAAGCAACTGTTTTCTTTTTTCTATTATTGAAGAAAAAAGATTCTTTTCTAACATGATATGTTCTGATTATGGTGTCTGCTCCCTGTACTCCACCCAGTTCCTCCTCATATCCTCTCTTATCTCTCATTAGAAAAAAAAATGGGCTTCTAAGAGGTGATACTAAAATATAACAAAATAAAAAATAAGATAAAACAAAAACAATCACATCAAATTTGCACAAGGCAAACCAACAGAAAAAAAAGAGCCTGAGAGAAGGCACAAGAATCAAGGACCCACTCACCTGCATGCTCAAGTATCCCATAAAAACACTAAACAGGAAGCCTATATATGTGTGTGTGTGTGTGTGTGTGTGTGTGTGTGTGTGTGTGTGTATGCGTGTATGCAAAAGACCTTTGTGCAGGCCTGTGCATGCTGTCACAGTCTCTGACTTCAGATGAGTTCTGCTCATGTTGACTTACAGGGCCTTGTATTCTTAGTGTCCTCCATCCCTCCTGACTCTTACACCCTTTCTGCCTCCTCCATGGGGTTCCCTGTTTTCTGAGGGGAGGGGGGTTAATGGAGACCTCCCCTTTATGTCTGAGTAAGAAAACATCTATCTCCATTAATCTGAAGAGTGTATATTGCAGAGAAATCTGTGCAAAAAATAGCCAGAGAACAAGACCAAATTCAATACAAATATATGGGCTGTTTCCCAGTAAAGACTGTCCTTATCCAAGAAAAGTTCTCGAAAGAGGAGTCCTTAAGAATATATTATCTGCATCCACTATTGTTATTTCTAAGATCAAACCAACAACTTCCGGTAATCAGCTTCATTAAAAATACTTCAAAGCTAAGAGTGCCCTGCTGGCAATAAAGATTCATTTCCAGGCACTGGATGAAGAAACTCGGTCCATCCTAAAATTGGAGCAGCAAAGCTCAGGCGGTCTGTTGGCAAAGCGCCCTGGGGCTCAAGAGGGTTTGCTGTTTGGTAAATCAGCTGCTACTTCCGATAGCTCAGCCACGTCTCAAGGGTATCAGATCTCCGCGCTGGTGGCGAATGAACCAGCAGAGCAAATGAAGTCTCTAAGAATTCGTGAAGGCATAGCTGAAGCCAGGTGCACGCGGTGTGAAGCGCCACACTGTGTCCCCTCAAACGGGATCATGTGTCAGTATGCCGCGAGTGCCCTCGCGCAGAAAGCCACACCATAATGTGGGTCTCGCCGATAATGGAGGTGCCATCTGGAGGCTGGCTCCTGCAGATGTTTCCGATTTGAAAGCAGAAAGGATGGGCAAGGCCAGCATTCTAGAACAAGTTCGTGATACTGATATGCAAATTGAAGAGCCTGGATGAAATCCGGCCAGCTTAAAGGAAACGAAGCATTTCACATGCAAACTTTCTCAATACGTGACTGACATTTCGGTATGCAGTTCCCAATGCCCCCTGCCTTCCACTGACTTCTTCATGTGAGTAAAGGACAGGCCCTTGAAGCCACTCCTAGATCCCTCTTTGACCTGTTACATCAAACGACACACTTTCTCCTCCAAGCCACTTGCACTTTGGGTCTGTCCTCCAGAGCATACTGGTGGTTTTGATTTGAATACTGAATTCTTCCTCTGGCCTTAGAACCCTGTAATGTTTTGAGTTTGAGAGAGCCAAAGGTTCTTTTGGAACCCCTTAATACAAGGGGGGAAAAACACTATACTTTCAAATCCTTGAGTTAATATTTCATTTCTGAGAGTATCCAAGATGCAACCGCTGGGGTTGGTGCTTTGGTGCCGAGAAAAAGATCAAGACTCCATGTGACTTGAACAAGAAAGAAATGTGTCTTTCACATAACCAAAAAGCCATAGGAAGAGTGTGGGCTTTGCTTCTACCCAGCCAAAATCCTAGCTGTCGGTCCAGGTGTCACTCAAGGCGACTTGTACCAAGGACAGGGCTCCCCACAAGGGAAATAATCCTAATGGAACTTCCAGCTGAGTGTCCCAGAGCCTCCTTGACCAACACTGGCTCACTGGGTCCCCTTCTCAGGGCGCTCTGCTATGAGGGGCAGGCTAGTCGAGAAGAGAAAGCCGGAAGCCAAGTGCTGCTGTGACTGATACTTTGTTTCCATAAGCCATGTGTGTTCCTTTTAAAAACGAGGCGACCAGAGTTCTCAGTAGAGGCAGGGCGGAGAGGTAGGAAGGAAGTTCCATGGCAATGTTTAGACTAGAGCTGGTCTACGTCCAGTTAGCTTACTTCTGTGAACCTGCCTCTAAACTCCACCCCAAAATACCAGGAATGCATGCCCGTGTGTGCACACACAAACACCATTTTAAAACTCATAAATAACACTGCCAAGTCTATCAGAAAGAAGTCTATTTCAAATTAGCAAACTTTAAAGCTCTTTCCACTAAAAATATGACCTATAATTGTATAGCAGCTAGCCCTGTGACATCTGTCATTTCAGACTGTATAATGTCATGTATTACTGTCACATTTGATCTTCTTGACAATTTTCATAAAATATTTATCAGTATCTCATCTTATGACTGATATAACTTAAGCACAGAAGGATTGAGACAGTTCCTGAAGTTCTGGAGGCCTTGCCACCAGAAAGAATGAAAAGTGTAATTCAAATTCAAATCTAATTTTTTGACAGCCAGTACCCTGAGTGCCATTGCTGTTTCATTATTAGCAAATACGAAGTGGTAAGAAAAGCTCAGATTCTTTTTTTTATTGATTTTTATTAAGCTCTACATTTTTATCTGCTCCCCTCCCTGATTCTCCCTTCCTCTTCAACCCTCTCCCATGGTCCCCATGCTCCCAATTTACTCAGGAGATCTTGTCTTTTTCTACTTCCCATGTAGATTAGATCTATATATGTCTCTCTTAGGATCCTCATTGTTTTCTAGGTTCTCTGGGATTGTGGTTTATAGGCTGGTTTTCTTTGCTTTATGTTTAAAAACCACCTATGAGTGAATACATATGATAATTGTCTTTCTGAGTCTGGGTTACCTCACTCAAAATGATATTTTCTAGCTCCATTCATTTGCCTGCAAATTTCAAGATGTTATTTTTTTCTCTTGTGTAGTACCCCATTGTGTAAATGTACCACATTTTCCTTATCCATTCTTTGATCAAGGGGCATGTAGGTTGTTTCCAGGTTCTGGCTATGATAAACAATGTTGCTATGAACATAGTTGAGCACATGTCCTTGTGGCATGATTGAGCATTCTTGGATATATGCCCAAAAAGTGGTATTGCTGGGTCTTGAGGAAGGTTGTTTTCTAATTTTTTAAGAAATTGCTATACTGATATCCCACCAGCAATGCAAGAGTGTTCCCTTTACCCCAGAACCTCTCAGTGTTTTTGATCTTAGCCATTCTTACAGGTGTAAGATGGAATTTGCATTTCTCTGATGACTAAGGATGTTGAACATTTCCTTAAGTGTCTTTCAGCCATTTTAGAGTCCTTTGTTGAAAGTTCTCTTTAGGTCTGTACTCCATTTTTTTTTATTGGATTATTTGTTCTTTTGATGACCAATTTCTTGAGTTCTTTGTATATTTTGGAGATCAGACCTCTGTCTGATGTGGGGTTAGTGAAAATCTTTTCCCATTCTGTAGGCTGTTGTTTTGTCTTGTTGACCGTGAAAGCTCAGATTCTTAAAGATGTCCATCTCTGGTGATCTTACTATAATCTGTGTGTCTTTTTGCTGACCATGTTAGTGGCTTCACCAACTCCCTGAATTTAAAAGAAAAATGCTAGTAATTCCTGCTATCTATTCACATGGAAACCTTCAGGACAGAGAAGGAAAAGCCTATCCCATGCCTCTGCTGCTAGAGTTCTCAGGGAGACCTGTCTTCTACACACATAAAAAACTTTAAGCCTTTCTGATGGCAAAATAAAAGACAGACGATAGAACTTTCTACAGAGGTGCTGATGCAAGCATTACCATTACCATTGTCCCTGATGTTTTCACGCTGCATGATAACACACACCTTAATCTGGAGGAAGCAGCACAAACACTCTTAAAATGAAAATTATATCTGTATTAAGCTATTTCTACTCACAGAGCACCTCCAATAACCCTGATTCTTCCACAGGCATTCTAAATTATCACTTACCATAACCCTATTAAACACACACTTAGAGTAGGTAAAGATAACTATGTGTCTACCCACCAAGCACTCACTGAAGGCATAAAGGATTTTCAATCTTTCTTTTTTTCAAAAAAAAAAAAAAGAAGATATATATAACAATGTCTGACCCAATGTGATTAATCTATTCAGCTAATATTTACTAATGCGCTGAGCACTATTCTAAAACATGACTGAGCTGGAACCACAGACAAAAAATAATGGTAACATCTGTGTGTGCCTCACAGAGTTCAAGGGCCAGAAGTGACGGAAAGCTGTGGGAATGGACAGAGTCGTCAAAGGAGGGCTTCTCCAAGGAGAGAGACTTGATTTTTAAGAAACCTTTCATTTAAACAGGGAAGAAGGCAAGACAGGCCAAGTTGTGAATCCTCTAAAATCCAGAACCTTAGAGCACTAACACAGACGGGAATTCTACTCCTGGCCTCATATGACACATTGCAGTAGAAACACAAGCACAATAAAAGATACTGTATAAAATAAATGTGTAGGGTCTGTGTACAGGACTCATGTCTAAAATGAATGTAGTTTGTGTGGTGCCTCATCCCCAAAATATCAAATCCAAAGTCAGCTCTACCCCTAAACATTTCGGGTGAGGGATAGGCACCTGCAGCTTAAAATAAACATTAATACTTTCCACCAATTGCAGAAGAACCCAAGCAGAGCATTCTACACATAAGAATTCTAAAGCGTGCCTGGCAGTGGTGGCTTCCTCCTGTCCTGTCAACGGTCATCTAGTAAAATCTGTGATGGTGGGTGACTGTCACTACAATCTTAAAGGAGTATGAATCGTTGGCATTCTGCTAGAACACTTAAATGGCAGGTTTCTATGAGAGCTATATGGGGATGTAAGGGTCTGTGTGTGATTGGAACTTTTTTTTCATTTTAGGGAGAGAAGGGAGCTGTGGGAGAGCCTGGACCCAGAGGACCCTATGGGCTGCCTGTGAGTTCATATCATGTGATCGCCACCATCAGCATGCTCCTGTGGCCTGCCACTGACATGGTTAACTCGTCCTAGTGGGCACACTAATCTCCTTATAGGAGCAAAGGCAATTCAATGAGCAGTCACCAATACAGGGACTTCTGAACTACAGTTAGGTCATCCTCAGTCTCAAATGGTCCCTGCACATACAGACACACCCAATCATGTCATATGATCGAAGATCAGAGACAAGGGGCTAAAGATAACTAACAGGAAAACAAGGTCCTGCCGGACAGATGGCACCCTTCCCTTGCCTTCTGGGTGGGCATCCATAACTGGCACTCCCTTGAAGGGTCACTCGCATCACTTGGATGGGAAAGTTTCATTTAGAACAGCCTTTATTCCTTGTCTATTCTCCTAGACTATTAGCAAAAAATTATCTTACAAGTGGAAATTATGATCCAAATTGAATTGCTACTCATGATGACAGTGTTTCTGATCTGTCTAAATCTTTGAGCGGACAGATGGCCTTCAGAACATAGAAAGTTGGCAATGTTCTGTCTTCTAAATTCCGAACCTTGCAGAAGCAAACTGAGGCCACAGGTTTCTGCAGAAATGACCTGCACTGTGGTTCCATTCAGTTGCGGAGGGTAGGACTCAAAGGATCATGTATTGCCTTTAGGTTTTTAACCTGCCTGTACTTTCCACAGATTTTTTTTATGAACTCAGATAACAAACTTCATTCACAATCATTTCAGGGCTTAACCAGGTGCTGGCTTTGACATAGATGTCAAAGTGTACTTAATGGAATGAGTTTAGCTGTTGGGAACTTTGGGCTGAGCATAGTCTGATCCCGCATTCCCACCATGCTGGGATGAAGTTACCCTCTTGTGTAAATAGTCAGACCAACCCTCTTAGGAATTCCTCTTTTACAAAGCTCACTGTAAAACTGCTTCTGAAGTTGTGATGTTCACACTCCTTATATTTAAGGTGATTGTCTAGCCAAATTCAAACTATATTTAATGATAGACAGTGTTTAGGTTCTCCATTAATTGAAAAGCTGAGTTATCAAACTAAAGAAACATTGATTTACATTTTTCATTAGTGTTGGTGTGCTTTTTAACTCAACTAAACATTTTTTGTTGTGTTTTGTTTTGCACTTCCTTAATAATGAGCTAAGTCAGACCAAGCATAGAATTTGAGCAAAATTACTTGTTTAACCCAGTAAAGAATTTAAATCCCTCATGCCCCATAACTTCAACTAACAGTCCCCTCACTTGATTTTTTTAAAGAAATCTGACTAATCAAGGAGCCTTTTTCACAATTCTAGCATAGTCTTTTTAACACTAATGTTGCATGCCCAGAGCAGCCTTAAACAAGAACCTACTGATGAAACGCAGGAACACTAATGTAGCTATTATGGTTCTTTGGCAGGGTAAAAATGGAGAGCCTGGTCTTGATGTAAGTAATCTACACAGCAAACATCCTCCAATTATAAGAGATACATTCAATGGTCTCCATCATCAGGGAACACGAAGAATACAGAATATTTTGTTTGTGCATGTGTTATGCACGTACACACGTGTATACACACACACACACGCACACCATATATATAATTACTGTGCACATAAATAGCAATATAAAATATACTAGTATTTGCACAACATAAACAAAGGAAAAATAATTAAAATAAAATTAGTAGCCTGACCCTGGTTAGTGGTACCTCAAAATCCTTTCCTAAATTAAGGATGCTCAGCATCAGTATGACCCAGTTATGGAAAAAATAACCATATATCAAGTCAGTCTGCCTCTCATGTGCTGCCCTTGGGGAATGGCGTTTTGTCAAAGCTGTTATTATGCAGTGTTCTTTTTTCTTTTGCCATTAAGTCTCTACGTGCATTTTCTCTTATGCCAAAAGATTGTGTAACAATACAGACTGTCTAAAGCAAATGCCCCTAGGAACAGTCGCTGCTGGTTGTACCGTGTGAGTAACGAAGTTGCAGTAGCTGCCGTTTATTGAGCACCTGCTATGTGCAGGCATCATTCTGGCACTTTGCATCCACCATCATTTAACATCCACCACAGCTGTGTGGTAGTCATGAACCTCATTTTATAGTCAAGGGACTAAAGGGCAGAGGTAAATGACTTGCCCAAACCCACACAAGTCAGTAAATGTGCCAGGATCCAAATTAGCATTCCTGTGTTCTTTCTCCTGCATTGTTGGGAGAAGAAAAAAACCAAGGACCCTACTTGCATAGCTCATTGAGATGGTAGAAAGTACTGTTTCTAAGTGCTACTGTTCTTTGTAAGTCTAAAGATTGACATGTTCTTTCTTCTATCTGAGTGCAGACCAATGAACTGTGGTGGCAGCAGCAGCGGTGATAATTTTGATATGATCTTGCCACGGTCACACCAATGGCTAACTTGAGTTTGCTTTTCACCCCCTAGGGCTTCCCTGGTCCTCGAGGCGAGAAGGGTGACCTGGGAGAAAAGGGAGAAAAGGTGACTTCTCCCAGCATGCACCTTGGGTGTTTCTGCTAGCACTGTCTGCTCTGCTGCTGAACCTGTGTGATCCCATCGAACACCTTTCTTGTCTCAGTCCTGTGTTCCAAAAACATACAGATGGCTGATCTAAGAAATCGGGTCTTCAAAGAGGACTAAAGAAGGCTACCCGGCTAGAAATGAGGGCACATCCAGCATAGGAGGAAGATTCTGACCCCTGGATATCAAAGCTACCGTCTTTCAACTGCCTGACCCCAATTTTTTTAATGTAATGTCTAGGGGAATTGAATATTTTTTCACAAAAGTAAAATCACATCACGCAAACCTCAGTGATATTTTGGCAAAGCCCATCTCATCTGCAGACCAGTATCTCATTTATATACATGATATTCCTAGGAGAGAGACTGCTGCATGGGATGTTTTGATTTTTTTTAATTCAGAGGTAGAAGGCAAGCATTGTGACTGAGAGACCACATTATGCCTGCTATGCAGAAGCTACTCTGTTAGCTGTAAAGCCAATAGTTGTAGGCTTTTGAGTGAAGACATTGGTTATTTTATGGGTTGGTATTAAAGATCTCTTGGGACCATCAGTCAACTCCATAGGTTAACGGGGCCGATATCAAACAACATGATTTTATAAACTAAAGAAAAGTTTGGATTTTAAATTTTAAACATCATTTTCTCCATTTCTCTTTAGTTCTGTTCCATCTGATCTTCTCTCTCTCTCTCTCTCTCTCTCTCTCTCTCTCTCTCTCTCTTTCTCTCTCTCTCTCTCTCTCTCTCTCTCTTTCTCTCTCTCTCTCTCTCTCCCCCTCCCTCCCTCCCTCTCTCTGGTTTGCTATAGTTTTTAATCTAGTAGTAAATCAGATAAGTTTTTATATTGGATGAAATGAATGGCAACAAAAACTCAATAATGAAAACCTTAAAGTGTTTGACTATGTACCTGACGATTCCAGTTTAAACCAGATCTCCTCCTTTGATTAATTCATGCCTTGATATACTTGGCAATGCATTGTTTTTTCAAACCCAGTAAACTCTCTTGAACAGTGAAACTCTGGTATGCCAAAGAAAGGGCTTGCAGCCTGCTGCATATGTTTTAAGAGTTAAGTCATTCAGCTGGGCAGTGGTGGCACACGCCCTTAATCCCAGTACTCAGGAGGCAGAGGCAGGCAGATCTCTGTGAATTTGAGGCCAGCTTGGTCTACAAGAGCTAGTTCCAGGACAGGGTCCAAATCTACAGAAAAACCGTCTTAGGGGAAAAAAAGAGTTAAGTTACTCAGCTTCTCACTTTCTCAATGATAAGAGTCCACACAGTGGTCAACCCAAAGCACCGCCATCAACAGCATCACATATGTGAAGCATGTGTGCATTCCTTTCCCCAAGGGCTTTCTACATGATAACCCTTGACATCTTCACACCGCCATCCTACGGTGGGTGCTATCACCTCCCCACTTCACAAACAAGGAGAAGTATGCCCTAAAACGTTCTCTTTTTTTTTTTTCACATTGTAAATCCCAGCTACCAGCTTTATGTGATTTGAGATCAGTTTTGTGCGGGACCATTGGACACAGGCACATTGTCTTAGAGGCTATGTTTGTTCGCTTACCTTATACTTACCTAGTAGGTAGTACGAAATTTTATGCTCTTTAAAGAAGTTAGAAATCACCAGTATTGGCTCAATGGTAGAGACCTTATCTATCACGTGCAGGGCCCTGATTTCATTCCCCGGCCCTGCAATGAAGGGACGAAGGAGTGTATGCACACAAGAAGAGAAATTCCCATCAGTGTGGCTTATAAAAGCAAAAAGTCACAATCCCATCCTCGGAAAAATGCATAATCGCCCATATGAAAATATTTCCATGCTTAGAAGATTTGTATTCAGGAAAATCAGATTCTGAATATTAAGCACTTTGTGTTATCTTTTTCTTTAAGAAGTAAAAATTGACAATAATTATCACATTTTAACTGCTCATACACACAGTGAGAGATAGGTAACTTCGTGGTACATAGATACACTATTTCATCATGTGATGCTGGTTATTAACACTGACATTGTATTATTCCAATGTCTCTTTTTCATAAAGCTTGCTGTTTACTAAAATTTTAACAACAAATATAACATTGCCTATCACGGAATTTGAGTAGTTAATCTTAAACCCATTTGACAATCAAATCATGAATTCCACTTAAACAACATGCCTGGCCTCAGTTAGACCTACTCAAAGATGGGTCCATGGCTCCATAGAGGGCAGAGCACACCCAAAAAGTTTCAGTTTATGTCGTGGTTTGGAAGCAACTTGGTGTGGGAGGTAGAGTCTCCATGAATGAGGGCTTCTGAAGGCATCACCCATTTCTTCCATACCTGCTTTTTCTTCACCTTTTCCTGTCACATCTTTGTCTTCCGTCGTGCACAGCTAAACCACACAGAATTTCGTTCCCCTGTATTCAAGAAGCCCACGTGGTTTCGATTTCGAGCCTTCTGCTGCAATGTTTTTGGCACACGGGAGAGGAACAAGGAGGAGCTTCGCTTCAGCTCACGCTGTCACAATGAGTGTTCTAATTTGAATGGGTGTCTCATACATGTCTGTGGTGTGGGTTGTTCTGTCTTTTCTCTTTGAATATTCATGCCGCTTGCTTCAAAGACTGTTCGGTTTTATTGTAACTGCCATCCAGGCTGTAGAGCGAATGTTCTCATTTAAGTATGTATCTACGTATCATCTTCTGCATTCTGCACCGCGCCAACTCCCTGTCTATGTGTTTGCAGATGTATACGTTAATGTAAAACAGCTGGGGTGCATTCCTTCCTTCCCCTCCTTTTGCCTCCTTTCAATTCCTCCATCCCTATGATCTGTGCAGACACCCCACAACCTTGACCTTGATTCCCAAATACTAATTCCCACAGCTACATTCCCACTGTATAATTATCCTGCCTACCTCATCTTAATGAGCCCAGACTGCTTTTCCTATCTGCAGAACTGTGAGCTGGAAACTCATTTACCACTGTGAACACTGACACGGGGTCTACAAGAGATGGGAGAAGACCACCTAGGTCTATAGATGTCGGTTTCTCCAGTCGGCACTGATGTCGAGGATTAGCACCCAAAACTTTCAATTAGTCGAGTATTCACTTTTATGTTTGCTAGGAAGAAAAAAGTGAAGCCCCATGAAAGCCCATTTTAATCCCAGAAAATGTTCTGGTATTACTGAGAGCTGTAAAATAGGGTTTGATTGAACATCCCTGGGAGAGACAGAAGACATTGCCTCTCCCTCTGAGTCTGTGCAGACAACACGTGTTAACAAGTAGGGAAAGTAGCAAGTTTGAAAGGGACTCACAGTTGGGTGGAGTATCCATTATCCATTACCCACCACCCCACTCCACCTGCTACTGACTGGCTTTGTACCATTGATACTTGCCATCCACAGCACAAATCCCTAATTCACACTTGACTCCAACATTGTGGTGGTCAGCACTGATCTGGGACTGGAGAGATGACTCAACAGTTAAGAGCACTACCTGCTCTTCCAAAGGTCCTGAGTTCAATTCCCAACAACCCCATGGTGGCTCACAACCATCTGCAATGAGATATGGTGCCCTCTTGAGGTCAGTCATCCTCAACTTAGACCATAAAACCCAATACGGACAAGTTCAACAGAATTGCCATATTTATGGCTGCCCATGCATGCTTCAGCATTGCCAAGGCATAAATTCCATTTTTTTCAAATTCAGCACTGATCTGCCTTTCTGATGCATCAGCCCTTTTGGTCTCCTTCTTCTTGTTGAGATAGATAGATAGATAGATAGATAGATAGATAGATAGATAGATAGATAGATAGATAGATAGATCCATTCTGTTGCCAGAATCCACTGTCACCATGCCAGGTTTTTTATAGTATCACTCTTCTCTACGTCAGAAAACAATGGTAAATGCCCTTCCAGACTATCCTTAGCTAAACCATATTTTGAATCATTTTTATTCTACACCCCACCCAAATAAAATCTGTCTTCTATTTAAACCCTTGTATTCACAGGGGGAAAAGGGAAAGAAAGGCAAAAAGGGGCCTAAAGGGGAGAAAGGAGAACAGGGCGCTCCTGGATTAGATGCACCCTGCCCGTTGGTATGTCTAACTCGTGCAACTGTCTCCAGATGTTTTTTGTGAGGGGTGAAATGGGAGAGGAACAAGCCAGAGGGACCAGTAACAGCAGCTTCCCAGGAGGGCCATTGAACATGGACCTGCAGACGGATGCTCAGGATACACAGATGTGCCTCACATCTTATTTGCCAGCCATTCTCGCTGCTCTGTCTCTAAACTCTCATACAGGCTGGAGCCTGACTATAGGATGTGAAGAAGGGCCAATGCCATTGCATGCCCTTCCACAGAGGAGGCTATGGTCTCCTGACAAGGCCTCGTCATGATGATGAGAACCGTCTCTGCATGTTATGTCCCTTCTAAATTGTTCCTCTCCCGACTTTTTCTTCTAGTTGTTTCTTTTAGCAGATGTTTGCCTTCAGTGACTTCTTGGATTAGTAACGTTATGAGTTAATCTTTACAAACAGGGATTCCGTGGCGTTAAGGGGGAAAAGGGGGAGCCAGGCCAGCCTGGCCTGGATGGGCTGGATGCCCCTTGCCAATTGGTACAGTATTTCTCTTTCCTACCATCCTGCATGCCATTCCTTTATTTACTATGTATTCGTCTGTATCAGTGTAAAGTGCTTCTTTCTGGAGTAAACTTTACATGATAAACATACTACATGCATGTGCATGAGCGGACTCCTCCCTGGGCTCTGCAGAGGGGAGAGAGCAAGCATGTGTTATCAACAAATGTAAATTAATCTTCTAACATTGTTCTCATTACTGACGTGTCCATCTCCATGTTCTTTGGAATATTAACTTATCCAATAAATATTCAGAGATTATTTATGAGTTAGACAAAAATACATGATGCAAAGGCACTGGTAGGCCAGAAGTTTGGATGATTACCCTACTTAACTTTTTCCTTTCCTCTGAAAGAAATAAAGATGTTTTTGTCTCTCCCATTACAGTTTTATCAGGGCCATAAACGAGGCCAAACCTACATAACGAAGCTTCTGTGGTCAGAAGTTAACCAATCCGAAGCAACATTATTACGAGACCATAGAAAAGAAAGCAACTGCCCTGCATATCTAAAGATGATCATTGACTGCAGCCCAAACCCTCTTCTCTATCACATAACCTTTTCGACGTAATGGTCTCTCCCTGTAAAACTCACTTTCCCGAAGTAGACAGAATTCCCTCCTTCATTGGCATGAGCTCAAAATCCTCCTTATACTAAAATCTAAAATTCTACTGGCTGATCCTTTTCCTTGTACCAATCTGGCATCACCAATTTCTCCCAAATATGTTACAAAGCTAGATTATTTTGTTACAATAAAAAGGGTAGCGTAATTATATTTTGAGGAGTAAAACGAAAGCTTTTTATCGTCGTGTTCCACTTGGTCTGCATGACCTCACATAGTTCTTCAGTTATAAGCATGATTCGTTAAAGGGAAATGTATATTTTGTGAGTCTTTTAAGAGATTGTGTGTATAGAAAAAATATTATTCAGTCGACTGTGATAGTTAGAACGTGTTAATATGGAGAACTCTGCCTTTTGTTTGCTTGTGTTGATAAGCCACATTTTATAAGCCCCTTCATCGGAGGGAAATGCATGCCTTCGACATGACACAGCCTCCCGTCTCATGTGGATCTGAAGATGCTTCCACCTTAAAATGCATTCTGCAGTATTTAGAAACCTTCATTCGGAATGTTCACCAGCTTCTGAAAAGCTCAACAGAAGCGCTGGCAAACACAATGGATGGCATGTACTTTAATATGCAGACAGACTGCCGGGTTTCAAATGAGTATATTTTATAATATCCACTGGCATACGGAGAGCTATAAACTTCAGCTAGAAATGCTTTGCCATTGATTGCCAATGCCACAAACCATAGTCCATAGTGACCCCAAGGAAATGAAACTCTGGCAACGATGACTGTGAGATGTTTTGAGGGCACTAAGAGGTGCCATGCACTGTGCAGATGTGTTATCTACAGCTCTGCCTGTGAGCAACACATGAGACAACTACGCTTTGTACATTCTGTCTTCAGAATTAGACACTGCCCTTTCTGTACTCACGTCTTTTCTAGAGGTGTGCTCAGTCTGGAAAGCATTTGAATTACGTTCATTTTAATTAAACATCACAAGCCACTGCTTAGTGTAAGATGCCTATGACTGAAGCCACCTGATAGAAACAATTTTTGAAGTCTCTTGGCATGTCGACTTACATATCTGATTACTTATAAGAACCTAAGGAATTCTTTTTCTTCCCTTCAAATCCAGGGACCTGATGGATTACCCATGCCTGGCTGCTGGCAAAAGGTAGGTAGGCCTTAAAAGTTTTTTTTTCTAGAAAGAAACCCTAATCTTGACCAGGCCCTTTCCATTGCAGAACAGACCTTTTACATTTGACCTTATTGAAAACCAGGTATTTCAAAGCAAATATGCCAGCTCTGGCCAATTTTTTGATGAATGTGTTTAAACTGATTTCCACCCAAACCCGTGGGCAAAAACCAACTATAATCTTGGCAAATATGATCTGGAACCTCAAGGTCATTGTTTGTGATGGAAAGGTGCCATGTATCTGATAAGATTGTTTGGCTCTCTGCCAATGAACTCTTTCCTCCTATTGTTTAAAAATTATTTTAATTGTGATTTTTCCCTGTATCTGTTGCACTGACAAATATGCAGATATATGGTCGAACCCTGTGCATAGCAGTCACACAACTGGGAAAGCAGAAAATATAAACACTTCTCAGTGATGTCTCGATTTGTTTAGTAGTGTCTGCTTAAGTCTATGCTGGCATCCTTTATATTGGTTTGTTTCATCTTCATCACATGACTGCCCATCATCACTGTGAATGTATTCAGTACAAATGGCTCAACCCAGAGAACCTTCTGTGCACAAAGGCTATATGCCATGCCCTATTGTGTCAATTAATCCATATAGTAGCCTACGTATGAGTAATAGAAATTTGGAAACATGAAGAAACTTCCAAGAGCAGCAAGCTGGTAGGTAGCAAGGCTAGGAAGGAGAAACATCAGGCAGTAGCGGTAGCATTTCAAGCAGACAGACGGGAACTCTGTGCATTCTGCACTGCCCCGGGAGTGAAGACGTTTTACATAGTGATGCTGTGACCTCAGTGTGTAGGTTACTGGAGGACAAAGAAATGCCTAGAAAGAGCAATGTGATAAGGGAAGCATCCAGGGTGCTTCGATGGCTCTGAAATTTTATCTCCAATACTTTGTAGCTTATCCAGTAATTGTAGCCAACCACACGTCATTTGGAAAATTAGAACAAACCGTGTAAGCCAGCGTGTGGAAACATGAGGAGACAATGGGATCTTGGTTGCCTCTCAAGTCAGCAACTCAACCATCAGGAAATCTTCTGTGATTTGCTTTCTCAACTAACTTCACACACTTAGCTGGGGACAAAAACGCCTCCTCTCATGGCAGCGTCTTTTATTTATTAGCTTCCCTAGCTCTCCTTTGAGCCTATCAGATAATTAACTCGGTTGCATCTGAGGTCAAGAGGGTCTCTGGATAGAGACCCCCTCATCAACGCCTTCCTTAGCCTCCTGCCGGCTTACCTGCCGTGCACAGACAGACATTGTAACGCCATCCTATGCAGGGATGTGCTGTGCACAGACATTGTAACGCCATCCTATGCAGGGATGTGCTGTGCACAGACATTGTAACGCCATCCTATGCAGGGATGGCCATTTGCTCTCTATCCTCTCCGCTGTAATTCACTAAGATGATTTTTTTTAAGCTGGTCATTAGCACACTGCACCCAGAGATGCCAACAGTTCATTTCCCCTACACTGGGCACCACTTAAAACTTGGAGTCACTGTGGTCTGAGACAATTCTAAATCATTTTCTTTTTCATAAAGAGATAGATGTAAGAGCAACAAGCGAGAGGCTTTTTTCATCTCGTTAGCCCCTGAAATGAAAACCCAGTAGTAACACAAATACTGTGACTGAACCGGAATTGTCCATAGGAATATTCAGCTTTCTATTAAATAGGTACTATATTCTACATAAGATTGAGAATCTCATGAATCTGACCTCTCCTGCAAAGAAAAATAACCCAATTATAAAACTTTGGTATTGCTTAGAACCTCCACACAGCACATACAAACTCCATCAACATCTCCCCTCTCCGAATAGCAATGAAATAATCAGAAAAAGGAAAATTTCTCAGATTTCTTCGATAGACAATTTAGATATCTCAAATAGTCAAGTAATTTTTTATTTATATGTTCTAAATAAAGCATGTAGGTGGCCTTTGGCTAGTCCTGTTTTATTTGGGCTATCCAGTATAAACATGTTTGTGGCATTTTAGTGTCTTATTAGCATATACTAATTACACATAATGAATCCATTATGGCGTTTTCATACATGTATCTAGTATATTTTGGTCATATTCGCCCACCCGTTACCTTCTCCTGTCTCTCCCCTCCCCCCATTGATTTCCTTTCCAACTAGTCCCCCTGCTATTTTGATGGTCTAATGAATTTCATTAGGTCACTTAGAGGATTGTTCATAGGAGGACGGGCACCTTAACAGTGCTTAGACTGTTTAAGACAACGTCTCCCCATCAACCAGCAACTACATATAGATCCTCCGTGATCCGATAATGACAGGTTCATTCTTACGCCGTTAGGATGTTATTAATGCACTCATTGAAAGGGGAATCTGGACGACTCACCTGTGGAGGGCGGGCCAGAAGGCAGCCATCACCCCACTCCCCTCTGCACTGTACTTTTCTCATTGATTTTTTCTTTGAGTAAAACTAAAGGAAGCGCCAGACATGGTGGCACATGCCTTTAGTCCCAGCTCCCAGAAGGCAGGCAGAGCGCTGTGAGTTCAAGGCCAACCTGAACTATACAGTGAAACCCTGTCCGCCCCCCCCCCCCCCAAAAAAAAGCAAAATGAAACAAAATCCTAAAGAAGTCTCTAAGATCTGCTCTGTAAGCTAATAGCCCTGTGAAAAGGCTTCTTAGTCTGAGTTGATGGCGGTTCTGGAAAGACCTTCTAAATGAGGAACCAAAGATTCTGGGGAATTTTGTTTTGTTTTGTTTTTTGGTCACGGTGGAACTGATAGCAGGCAGGTTTGTCTTGTCAGGTGCCTTTCAGGGCAAGGCTAGTTATAGGACAAAGGGACCATGACTAGGAAATGCACATGCGCTCTATGCAGGAAGCTGTAGGTTAATATGCCTTTGAACTTAGACCCTTTGGCCATTATTAGGTTATGTTACCATGCCTGGAGACATTGTGTGCAGTAATGGAAGCATACCTTTAATAAAAATCACAGTTTTCAGCCGGGCGGTGGTGGTGCATGCCTTTAATTCCAGCACCAGCACTCAGGGAGGCAGAGGCAGGCGGATCTCTGGGAGTTCAAGGCCAGCCTGGTCTACAAGAGCTAGTTCTAGGACAGGAACCAAAACCACAGAGAAACCCTGTCTCGAAAAAACAAAACAAAGAAAAAAATCCCAGTTTTCTGCTTTCCCAGCACAGTGACTAATACAATCACTTCTCATAAAGTTCTTGGTTGGCCATGGAAAAATGGGAGGTGGAGCTAAGATGAGAACCATGGTAAACTGGAGTTTTAAATAGCATGAATTGGGAAACATCAGACGATCAAATTGGCTTGCTGACCTAAAGAAAAGACTACAGGGTTCTTCCAGTGTTTGCAAAATAAATGTTAATTTGGAATTTTTATCAAAGTTACCACTAACTCCACGTGTGTCTGTTTGTTGTCTGTTTTTCTGCAGTGATGGATCTAACCTTCCAAGCATGAAGTTGTGTATATAATGGTCCACCTGTTATATTTATAGTTGAAAAACTGTGACTTGCAGATTTTTGCAAGTGTGGGATCTGCTCCCCCCGCACTGTTTCTCCCTGTTCACAGTAGTACAGGCGCCCATCTCTTCTCACATCTGAAACTAGGCAGTGTACGGAAGTGAGGAGGCCACAGGAAATATAACTCGGTGTCTCTATTTTACGTGAACATACGTATTTATAGGGACATCAGTGACAAAGAATGATTGCCCTCGCTCGTTTCCTATTTGGAGCTTGTTGACTGCATGGACAGAAAGTGCCATGAAATAGTTTACATGAAATCGTGACCAAATACGGACTCAAAGCTATGAACATGTAGCACACATTCCCTAGGAACACCCATTCGCCCCCACCCCACCTGCTGAAACCTTCTAAAACCAGCATGACCCTGTGCCAACCCTGCTTGTGCAAATGCAGATGCTTGCATGCCACCTCACAAGTTCTCTGACTACAGCTGAGCCTTTGTTCCTTTTGTCATCTCAAGGGGGTTACACCGTGGCTCATTGCCAAAAAGAGATAAGTTGCTGGAGAACACACACACAGTTGGTCTTATATTTTGAGGGAGCTGCAGTCCCGACTGCAGATCCACAGATCCTAATAATGCAGGCTCCTGTGACCGCCTTGGTTGAAAACCGAAGGGTTGAGTGGGTTTCTGCCACTTGTTTTCCTTGGGCTGCGCTTGGCAGTGAAGACGTCGGAAGAGGACCCGGTTCGGCATCCTGCACTGTCTCTCGTGTGACTGAGTTGGAAGGAGATTTATAACCACGGAAATCCAGAGAGGCAGGAATTGTTTTTCTAGATGAACTGACGTCCCAGGGGTGTTGATCTCGGTGCTTTGGGAAAAAGTCAGAGGTAATGCAGCTGTGTTTCCGAGACAGCGGAGCCTTGGAATGGAAGCCCCTGTTCATGCAGATGGAAAGGTGCAGACTTGCCATCAGAGCTCAGGGTGCTGAAGACACCGTGTCCTGAGAAGGACAGAATAAGATGTGCTTCAAATGCCAGGGAATCCTTAGTGCTGGCTCTACCAAAGGTAGCCGGAAAGTGTCCGTCTCTCCCTTCCTTCTGGGGTTGACACACACCAATCGGTTTTTTTTTTTTTACAAGTTCCAGAAACAAACTGTAGTTTCCATTCTTTCTCATACTTTTTGTTTTCTTAGGAACAGAAACTATTTGCTTCACTTTGGGCCTCACAGGTTTTTAAACGTTATTTTTAAGAAAAGTTTTCAAATCATGTAATGATTTGAATCCAATAGTAAAAATAACCTTACCATCTCCTTGTTTTAAGATAATTGAAGAGATTATAAGGCTTCATTTTTTTTACTTAATTCATTATAAAGTATGACAAGCATTTTTTACTACTTTTTGATTGACGTTGACAAATTTGTTATCAACGTGAAAGTCAAGATTTTATCACATTTGATAGCATGAACTTGCTTCTTCTAGGTTTTTTTTTTCTATATTGAAGTTTATTTCTCGAGTTTTGTTTTTACATTTCTAAGTGTTTGTCTTATCCACAGACCAAATCTGAGATCTCAGAAAGCCCTGGAATATAGTTGCCAGAAAAGGTCTTTTTTTTACTGACTTGCTCAAAACATACCAATGCAGACTTAGACTGGGCAATTCCTTGCTGAGTTTGTGGCATGTTTTGAAATGACTTATTCTAAGTGGAAGGGTGGTCTGGAGAAGCACCATCCGTGGGAGCAGTGGTCCTAGCAGCTCCTTAGAGAATTTCATTTCCCTTGGTGATTGAATGTCATTTTTCTGGGAACATTTTGAGCTCAGTGTTTAGATTTTCACCACCAGAAGGGAAATTAGTTCACACTTAGGCTTACAACAGTGAAGATACAATTTCAAAATAGATCTTAAGATGTCTTTCATATTGTGTAACCAAATGCTCAGTCATACAAAATGATGTCATCTTTTTTCTTTGTCATTTCTGAGGTTAGAATTTAAATGTTAGATCAGACTATCTAGTAATACTTCTAATAACATTCCGCACTCCTAAGCCAATTCAGCATTTTTTTTTTAAGTGAAGAGTGTTTCTAACAATTTCTTGTATGATATGTTTAGGGTAAGGTATTTCACAATAAATGAAACAATTCGTCTTAAATCATTTGGGTCACAGAAATGAGCCCAAGATGACACATTATCTTCAGAAACAAAAAACAAAATAACTGTATATAGGATCTTGAGGACAGTCTGGTGACTATACTCCCTCCTATCTTCCTTTCTGTTTCTCCACTAGAAAGAGGTATTGAGAGGGATCATTATTTCACATTTAGAGATTCTAACGATGGTTGTAATATTGAACTAGTTTCTTTAAAGTATTGGACACACCCCTGTAGAAAAATACTGCACAGCGTGTGTGTGTACTGGGGTTTTCCTTGTAAGGCACATTTGAAGGAACGTGTAAACTTCTATTTCTGTACTTCCTTGGAACAAACAACAGGATGATGGTAGTTCTCTATGCTCAGTGGATTGCTAGGTTACCCGCCATGAGTTAACCTTGAGCTTTGGACTATGGAAACATATTTACTCATCCATTTTGTCATCTAACCGAGTAATTTCCAAAGGAATCAATAATGGATTATTGTGTTGATACATATGTTTATAGATTGCATTCTTTTTCATAAAGACTTTTTTAGGGAAATGAAGAAAAAGGGTATGGGACACTCACTGGAGACATGTCAAGGTCAGGTTTTACTCCCACTGTCACGTTGCCTCTCTCCACCGTTTTCCATTAGCCTCGGTTGCTGCTGGGAAATACCCTTCCTTTTTTTCTCAATGGATAGTCGACCTCTACTGCTGGCGATTTTATTTCTGTTTAATGGCATTCCTAAGCTGTTATTGTGTGGCTTTATTTTTGAAGTTCATGAATCTGTTGTAATGTACTTCAATGACCAGCCTTTCCTCATGTAAAACAGCCTTCTGTGGTGCCCCTTATCCTGTGTTCATCATATATACCATATGCCTTTATCAGTTTTCATTTACCTTTTTCTTTTTTTGAGTTCCCTCACCTTCCAGCTTACACACTGTAAGCTTGCCTGACGCAGCCAGTGCTAGAGAAGTCTGCACGCGACACGTAGGGTACCTAAGTATGCCTGAATCCCTCCCATCTTTCCTTTCCCATTATCAAATGTAGCTTTGGAGGGTTTTTCCTTTACCTGTTATTTTATGGAGAATATTGGAATGTCTCTCACTCCTACCAATAGAAAGTTCTTGGCTTTAGCCTTATACTCTGAGTATCTGATGTGTTCATGGGCAGTATGCATGTGTGTACTTTGTGTGTATATCTGCTATCTTAAAAAAAAATGGTCAGATCACCATTCTGTATTTTTGGGGAAATTGTCCTTAGTATTTTTGTCACTTAGGAAATGTGCCTAATTGCCAAGTATTCTTTAACATAACAAAATAACACTTTAAGCCCCCTCCCACTATATTTGTCTGAGAGTTCAGCATCTTCTCATAAGTGGTGGTGGGAAACTTGGATGCTGACATCAGAAACTTTGATTTTCTTCCTTTCTTGATGATATTCGGATTATTTTAATGTTTAATGCCTACCAAAACATAGAATTTAATGATTTTTATAATAATAACAAAAAGTCCTACTATTTTATAAGGCTTCCTGGTGCCTTATCATTCCAAAAATACTAAAAATGGCCAGCTGTGATCCCGGGGGTTGAGAGGTCTGACCAGTTAAAATTCCGCCAACCTGTGTTCGGATGTAAAGGCTGTCTGTCCCTACTTCTGTTCTCTTAATGCATCTTCTCGCCCAGAGGCACTCCTCTAACTTACGTTGCTGGTGAAATTATTTAGGGTTTTGGTTACTTCTATAATAACAAACATTTTAATGGCTTCTTTTTCCACTAAAATGCATTTACATGTGTAAGCTGCCTACTCCGCTTATTGGCAGACTTTTGGAGACGAGGATGGACTGCGTTATGCTTGACTTCTTGACAACAAAGAAAATGCCAACATTTCTCAAAATAAGTGGATATTCTGACATATCTCAGAACTATTCATGAGTCGGGTTCCTGAAGAATATCACACATGTTGTTGGTGTTTGGGTGGAGTTCTTCATTGTGTTGTAAATGTTTCATTAAGGTGGACATTTTAAAAAAGATGTATGTATCTGATTTATCTTTTGGAAATATTATATTTTTTATTTGTATTTTTTACATTTTAAAGTTCATCTCTATGTGCAGCTATTTTTATATTGCCAAAAACTCACATAAATGCAAAGTAAGAGGGAAATGGAAAAAAATGACAAGTATTTGTAAGATGACAAGTGTTGCCTTGTAGGTTTGTTTTTTTAATGTTTCATGGGCCAGTCTCATGTTCTCGGTTATTCTAATAATGTGTTGTATCTTTTCACTGTATATATGGTGCAAACCTGATTGTCTTGGTAGTGTAAATATTTAAAAGATTGAATTTTTCCCATTTGATTTCTCATTTCAATTGTAATTTTTCCCGCTGTCATTACTGACTCAATGGCCTGTGAAGGCTCTGATTTGCAATTTGGAGAGAATTGCTTTGGGGTTCATTTTCTAATTTGTTTTTAATTTACTTTTAAAACTTGTTTTCAGGGTTCCTAGTTTGTGAGAAGTTGATCTTCGGAATTATTTTTACACTATTTATGACTTATTTTCATAATGTAAAAAGTGTGTAATTATTACAGTATTAACCCAAACAGTGATAATAAATTGTATTGTTATAAAGTTTTAATGATATTCCTGAGAACGTTGTCCTATTTTCTTTTATTTAGAAACAGTCGACAAAACAGTTGACTACTTTTCTTACCACACCGTAGTGTGGTGATATTTTTTTTTTTTAAACAAATGCTTTCGGGGTCATATAATAATGCTTCCAAACTCAGCTTCCACTCCAAAGTCACTTTGTTCTTGAATTCCCTATCTGGATGATGTAAGTTTCACACTAGGTTACCTGTTCCTCCTTCCCCTCCCCCTGACACCATCACCACATCAGAGTGTAGTGCGTAATTTCACAGCATACCCATCCACCATGTGACTAAAAGCCTACACAAGGCACCGATGCACCACGTTATTCCTAACTGGAAGCCTGCACGAGGCACCGATGCACCACGTGGCCCTGAACTGGAAGCCTGCAGAAGGCAAGGGCGATTTGAAAAGCCAAAGCCCTTCCGGTACTCCTTTCTTGCTGTTGCCCTTTTCAACACGCTGAGTCCCCATGCTCTCTCTGTGCCCTCTGCTAGGTCTTCCTCCTCCACCTGCTCACTAATTGTCCACCCTCAGGCTCCGATCTCCCTCTTTTTCCGGTTGTTCTCCCTGGAAGTGCTCCTTCATTTCCAGGATGCAGACTGAGAGAGTGAGTCAGCTCTTCCTAACTCCATGCTGGCTTCCTGACCAACAAGCGCTCATTCTATTCACCTTCACCCCTGCTTTTCTTCCAGACTCGCAAATCCTAGGAAATGAAGCCACTTTTCCCTCCACCCAGGCAAATGAGATGGAAACTTCAGCCACTTTGGACATGCCCACTTCTCATAGCCCACCCATTCTGCTAATTTATGTGGAACAATGGCTTGTCCTGTCACTGTGCTTTGATGCTACAACTCCTGAATCTCAGATCCACCCCTTTTCTCCATCCCCCACCACACACACAGACTCAGTCTAGACTCTACTCAACCCTCTCCTGACCTTTAGAAGAGTCTTCCAAGCAGACCCCCTGAGACTAATAACCTCTTTCCCTGTTTTTTCATATTGTCTCATCTTGAGGGTAATGTTTCAAAGAAAGTTAAAAAAAAAAAAAGCCACCTGAGATTTCTCATGACCATTGCCTTTTGGACGACCCCCATGCCATTACAACTTCAGAGCCCAGGGAGATGGGTCAACAGAGGGACACTTGCCACCAAGCCTAAGCAACCTGACTTTCGTCCCTGAAACCCACATGGTAGAAGGAGAGAACCAATTCCAAAAAGCTCTCCTCTGCCCTTCACACGCACACCATGGCGTGCACATAAACACGCTAAATAAATAAATGTAAACCATTAGAAATGAGCTGTAGTTTTGAGAGTGTGCCTCAGTATAACCCAAGAGCATGGGCTCAAGCAGCTTTGCTGGAGACAGCGCTGCAGGGAACGTTTGCTGCGCTCCCTCCATCTCTTGCCTGAAACCCTCTGGTACTCACCCACTTTCTTGCGGACCCTGTGTATAGACTCTGAAGCCCACGTGACCACACATGCCTAGCTGCGTATGGCATCCTGTCTTGTAGGCCAGAAACACTTACCCCAAAGTTTTCCCATGGCAAACTAGTCAACAGTTCCTTAACTGCTCTTGAGCCTGGAGTCGTCCCTATTCCCATGCCCGCCATCCAGCTGAAAAACACATGCTGCCCCTCCAAGGAACATGTGCATCAACTTACAGAAATGGCCTGCCTGCCAAGACGAGATACTCCCATGCTCCTGTCATCTCTTGTGCTTATCACCACGTAACATATACCGAATTTCTAGTGACTATATCTTTGCCTCCTCCAATAAATAGTGGGGGGGGGGGAGCTTGAACCCGAAGCAACAAATGAAAAATAAGGTCCAAAGTAACAAAGCTAAATCTCACTGGAGTTTATGGATTTAACAAGCATAATTGTTAACCACACGGATGTGATTCCTGAAACTAAAGGAATACACGTTATGACTCTTCCTAGGCCCAAGTACGTGCTATGCAGTTGGAGTAATATCACCAAGCTGGTGTACCGTCATCTAAGATGCCAGAGAGGATGAAAAGTTCACAACTAAGGCCAGAGGACAGAAAGGAAGACTGAGGCCATATGCATTCAACCCACCTTGTGCTTTGTTTCACTTGAGATAGGGTTCCAATTCCTGGAAATTGAGTATCTGCCTCTTGAAGAAGCCAATCTAGATGCCAAGATTCTGGAGTAACGATACTCACGTCGACCCAGTGCACTGTGGATCAGGAGCTTGGGGTGGTTGCTAGGTGAGTTAGAGGCCATCAAAGCTTAGAAAAAAACTGGTTCTGGTACAAGTGTCTATCTCTGCTCAGTGTGTCAGGGTCGCCATCCCTTCAAACACCGCAGACTGGAGGGAGGTTCTATTCGCCTTCCTCTCCATTAGTTCGAGACCCATTCTAGTTCTCCAGTTTCAGCATCCATCAGAATCACTGGAGACCTTGTGAAGTGGCTTTGTTTTAGACCCAGTAGGTCTGAAATTGGAGATTTTACATTTTCATAGCTCCTAGGTGGTAGTCATGAACTCGGCCCAAGGCCGACCCTTAGAAGAACTGTCGGTCTGTTCTCCTTTGTGTCTTTAATTACCTGTGTAACTTGAAGTGTCCCAAGGCAAAGATCGCAGCTTTCCTCTATTGAGAACAATATTTTCTTGCCTTGTCAGTGTGTTGGCCTGCTCCTCTGAGACCATTGTCCCGTAGCTCCCTCCCACTGCATCCTACTGACCCAGGGAACGAACGCTGGTTGTTTGCCTTGCTCCTTACATCTTCCTTTACACACGCTTATCCATTCACAGACATAAAGCCTTCTCTAAAATAGATTAACCAACCCACCGAAAAAGAGCCCCTGTGGTCTCCTCACCACCCCAAAGCCACACTTCTGAACCATGCTGCTATTGGAACCAAGCCTTCAACACCTGAGCCTTGGGGAGGGCACTTCAGATCCAAACTGTAACCAAACATGCTCCTTCCAGTTCTGAGATCATGCAGTTCCGTCCATGACTGGGGACAAGGAGAAATAATATCAGCTTCTTTCTCTAACAGTTGTATTTTTTAAGTAATTTTCTATCGGTCCTGTCTATGACCTTATTATATCTGGATGGTGTGAACAACAGAGTGTCAGTAGTTTCTCTTGAGAAAAGATCAAGAGAGGAGGAGTGACGGAGCCAATGGGGAATGACTCTTACAGCGGACTGTGCAACCAGAACTTTCCAAGTCTGAGAACGTTATCCTCTCATCCCAGCAGCACTGGATATGAAAGTCTTTTTAATGCGGAGTTTCTCTAAGATGTTCAGGCAAGAAAATTTCTAAATTCTCACTGTTTTCTTTTAAGTTAAGCTTTCTTTTTGCCTTTTCATATTAGTTATAAATTATTTTTAGAATGTTCTCAGTTGATGTTTGAAGTCTGCTGGATGACAAGAAACTTTGCAATGTAATCACTAGAATCCAAGGGGATGAATTTGAATGGCTATTCAGCCACTTACTAAGACAATCTGTCTGACCTCAATGAGTTTCAATTTTTACATTTACAGAATGAGAATGAAGAAATTACCTTATTCAAGGTGGCATGGAATACAAATATCAATGGGTTAGCTCAAATATGTGCTTAGTGCAGAAGAGGGTCACAGCACAAGCACTCTCTATTCTCCTCTCTCTCCCTCCTCCCTTAAAGTCTTAAAACAGGCGCTCTCTCTCTCTCTCTCTCTCTCTCTCTCACTCACACTCTCTCACTCTCTCTCTCTCTCTCTCTCTCTCTCTCTCTCTCTCTCTCTCTCTCTGGTGTCCCAGGCTGACCTTGAGCTCGCTAGTAGTCAAGGATGACCTTGAACTTCTGGTCCGCCTGCCACCACCTCTCAAGGTTGGGGCTACAGATGTTGCACTACCAGACCCGGTTTATAAGGTGCTAGGGGATTGAACCCAGACCTTCACACATTCTAGACAAGCCCTCTATCAGCTGAGCTACTTCCTCAGCTCCTTTCACTGCCTTTAGAATTAAACATAGACTTAGCAGAGTTTAAGATTTATTATGTATACAGTATCCTGCCTGCATGTATGCTTGCACACCAGAAGAGGGCACCAGATCCCATTACAGATGGTTGTGAGTCACCATGTGGTTGCAGAGAGTTGAACTCAGGACCTCCAGAAGAACAGTCAGGGCTCTTAACCGCTGAGCCATCTCTCCAGCCCCTTAGTAGAGTTCTTGCAGTGAGCAAAAGTTCTGCATTGAGAAAGAATCATCCCTCATTAAAAACTGAATGCTGTTCCTCGCATCTCACTGAGTCTATCTATCCCTACTCCAACGGTATCCAAGTGCACCGTGTCAAGGAGCTAAGCCCTACCACTGGCACGCAGTATAATGAGTAAGCAAGTTTGCTTCCAATAGCTTGAATTCAAAAGTAATGCTACTACCTCCCAAGACACTTGACAAACTTCACTGTACAAAACTGGTAAGCCACTGACAGGAGAAAGAGAATCCTACCATGGATCAGTGATTCAGGCAAAAGCTATCAAAGAGAACTGTACTGAGAACCCCTGGGAGAGAAGACTCCTGTGGCATTTCATCCCACATGTTTGCAGAGCCAGAGCCAAGCTCCAGTTCCCAGAGTTTACTCCAGCCACAGCACATGCCGGAACCCTCCCAGAACCCCTAGCGTCAAAGTGTCGGCACAATGATGGGCTGTACATTGTGATACTGACAAAGACAAAGGTTCTCATCACTTAGTTCAAGGTCATGAGCTTCTCCTGACTCGGTTGCTTATTGAGCCATAGGACAGAATTTTGTCAACATACAATGCAGATCAACTCCTAAACTGTTTTCACAGAGGACTGCAAGACTCCCCATAACTTCCCAGCAATCCTCATAAATGCATGTACAATTTGATTAAAGCAAAGCTAGCAGGGCCCCATGGTCATTAGGTAACCCACAGGCACTACCCCCACAAAGGTAGTGCCTTCGGTTCATATGCAGCTAGCTTGTTTTTTTCTAATACCACTGAGAGGTTCTAGTAGAAGGAGGAG